CATTTGATGTCTGTCCTGTAGTAGTCTCTCATTTGCAAATACCTATAGAACTCATGTTTATCTAGATTATACTTGTCCTTCATTTGTTGAAAGCTCAACAGCTCATTATTTTCCTGGAGGGCATACCATCCCGTAATCCCTTTCCCTATCCATTGCTTGAATCCTTTATCATATTTTAATGGTTTAAAATCCGTGTCGTATGCTATCCACCTAAGTATTTTCATTTCTTTCTTTATTTTGTGTTTTTTCAATGTTTTGAACCATGTTTCCAATGTAAAATTAGCGATCGGATCTTTATAATTCTTGATCTTTTCATATCTATCTTCATCTCCAATAACACTCTGAATTGGACATCCTCCAAACTCTTTCTCCATGTCTTTCCACCTTGCTGAGTAGTCCGGCGAGCACCAACACACCACATGCCTGAGCTGTGCTGCCCAGAAGTACTCTCTCAGTCTTGGTAGGCCCAAACCCCCTTCGTCTTTCGGTAGCTGTAACGTTTTATATTTAACTCTTGGTTTTTTGCCCCCCCAGATGAATCTTGATATTATCTTGTCCCAGATATCAAATTGAGTTTGACTCACCTCTATCGGTAATGCCTGGAACAGATATAGAAGTTTCGCTTGCACTTTCATTTTGATAATTTCGACTCTCGAGTTCAAATCCAATGGTAAAGTATTCCATCTATCTATATCTTTTTGTATTTCTTGGGTTATTTTACTATAATTCGCTTTAGACAATGTAGATATTTCTTTAGTAATATTGACTCCTAGATATTTTATTTCTTTCGTGTTCCATTTAATGGGAAATGCTTCCTGTATTTCTTTTGATGGGTTATAGTTGAGTGTTAGTGTCTGTGTTTTGCTTACATTAATTTTGTATCTTGAAAGATATTCATACTTTCCAAACAAGTCCATCAAAACTGGCAACGATCTATTTGGCTGTTCAAGGAAGGTTATTATATCGTCTGCAAAAAGTCCTATTTTGTGTTCTTCACCATTTACTGTAACGCCTTTGATTCTTTCATCTTGACGTACTGCCTGTGCCAAAGGTTCCACAAAGAGTGCAAATAAGGTAGGTGATAGGCAGCACCCTTGTCTGGTTGATCTTTGTATGTTAAATTTTTCTGTCAGACTTCCATTTATTTTTATTCTCGCTGTAGGTTGATGGTATAATGCTTTTATACTCAATATTGATTTATTGTTGAATCCAAATCGTTCTAGCACCCTATATAGAAATGTCCAATTCACCAAATCGAATGCTTTTTCTGCATCGACACTTACTAATATGGTGCTTTGTTTTTCCTGTTGCGCTTGATCCACTATATGCAATACTCTTCTAATATTATCGTGAGTTTGTCGTCCTTTCACAAATCCTGTTTGATCCTCCTCTATCAATTCTGTTACCCATTTATTTAATCTAGCAGAAATAATGGATGTATAAATCTTATAGTCCACATTCAGTAGTGAGATTGGTCTATAACTACTACATTGTTCATTGTCTTTCCCTTGTTTTGGTATGACCGTAATTATAGCTTCTCTCCATGAAGGAGGTATTTTATTATTATTAAGTGTCCAATTGAATGATGCTGTGAGTATTGAGACCAATTCTTCTTTAAAAATCTTATACCACTCTGCCGGGTATCCATCACTGCCTGGTGATTTATTGTTTTTAAGTGAGTTTATCGCCTCCTTTACCTCTTCTATTGTAATTGTTGCTGTCAGTGACTCATTTTGTATTTTGCCAATTGTTGGTAAATCTAATGTGTTTAAAAAGGTTCTCATTTCCCCCTCTTGAGCACCTGCAGGTTGTGTGTATAACTTCTCATAATATCCTCGGAAAATGCCTTCTATTTCTTCTGGATTATTAGTTAATTCTCCTGTGTTGGGATTCCTGATTTTGTTTATTGTATTAATTGTTTGCTGTTTTCGAATACGTTTTGCTAGCAGTTTAGTTGCCCTTGACCCTGCCTCATAATAGTTCTGTTTCAGGTATATATTCTTTTTTTCTATTTCTCCCAATAGTATATCATTTATTTCGGCCCTGACCATCTTGATTTCTTGGTATATCTTTGGGTCTTCTGTTATCTGATATTTCTTTTCTAGTTCTCTAAGTCTCTCATTGTTTGACCTGTATTTTTGTAATTTGGTTCTTTTTTCATGCGCCGGTATAGCTATTAACTTTCCTCTAATGACTGCCTTCATGGCATCCCACACTATTGTTGGGTCAACTGTTCCATTATTATTTTCCTCAATATATTGTTTTATCTCTGCTTTGATCTTTTCTTTTTGTTGTTCATTGTTTAATATTCCCACATTTAATCTCCATACAGTATTTCTTTTCCTACTACCTAGGCACATCTTTACATAAACCGGATTGTGATCCGACACATCTGCCGCTCCTATCTTGCACTCCTTTACCCTGTGATTATCTTCTTCCTTGACTAAAAAATTATCTATTCTGGAGTGTACCCCATAGACAGCCGAGTAATGTGTGAAATCTCTCCCTGATGGGTGCATTTTTCTCCATACATCTATCATTCCCATCTCCTCTAGTGATACGTTTATAAATTTTGTTAAGTGAATTTTATTTTTTTTGTGGCTCGTTGTGTCCAAGTGATTATTCAAAACTACATTTAAATCACCTCCGCAAATTAGAATCCCTTCTGTTTCCACAGCTATTAAATTAAATAGACTTTTAAAGAATTCTTTGTTACTCCCGGGGGGTGCATATATATTTATCATAGTTATTAATTCATTTTCAATCTTTCCTTTTAATATTATGTATCTTCCTTCTTTGTCTTTTACTTGCTTTTTGCTGTCGAATTGTATGTTTTTCGAAATTAATATAGCCACTCCCCTTCTACGTCCTTCTGCATATGAACTGTAATAAATATTCCAGCAACCATATTTTTTAAGTTTTTCATGCTCCGATTTGGATAAATGTGTTTCTTGTAAGTATATAATTTGTGCGTTTTCCTTTTTCAATTTAGTCATCACCTTTTCTGTTTTACTCCGTACATTCAACCCGTTCACATTTAGCGACATTATCTTGATATCAGTCATGGAAATAATTTCTCGACCCCTGTTGAAAAGCTCCCCGGCAACTCACACCTTAACCAACATGAACTAATACTAACCAAACAAAAACTTAAAATCAAACTGACTTCCCGTACTTGGGGTATCCCTCTTCCCCAGTCCCCGTTGGTGGGTGGAGGGGAAATCCTCACCTTTGTTGAGGGCCCCTCCCTAGATCCTGTACCACTCCCATCCCGTGGGGTACTACTCCCTCTAGACATGTCCAACTTAAAAGTTTATATCTCCTCTCCGTCGGTTCGTAATGAATTCTGCGAAATTAAGAAGTCTTGCACTTTGACCCAGTCTTTATTCTCTTTTGTGACCATACCTCATTTCTTCTTGATCGATTTCATCTGTGGGCGAAACATTCTAGGGTTTCCATTGGAAGTTGTGCAGCTTTTCTCTCGCTCGATGAGCCGCCTCTCGGTCCCGGTCTGTTCCCTTCGTTCTCTGCCATCCTGCCGCTCCTCGTCTCCTTTCCTCCGTTGCCGCGTCGCCTCCTCCCGGCACAGCTACGTTGTATCCCCTTTCCTTCATGTCCTGCGCTGCTGACTTAGCGTTTTCATATGTCTTCACTCCATTCTCCCAGTGTATCCGCATTTTGGTGAGTGGTGTCTGGAAACGTATTCCTTTCTCCTTCAATATTTTTTTAATGCCGCTATATGCCTTTCTCTTCTGTACAATCTCAGTCGGGTAGTCGTGATCAAAATAGATACGCTTATCCTTTACCTGAATCTTTGTCTGCCAGGCTTTCTTCAATATCATTTCTTTGGTCTCATACTGCAGAAAATTAACCACGACTGACCTCGGTGCTGCGTTTGCATTCGGCTTGGATGCGGGTGTTCGGCGAGCTCGTTGAATCTGGAGATTAGTCCCCTCCGGTAGTTCGAGTTCCTTTTGGAATAGTTGCTCCAAAAATGTGGCAGTAGATTTCCCCTCTACCTCTTCTGGCAGGCCGAAGATTCGCATGTTGTTTCTCCTCGATCTCCCCTCGAGGTCGGTTAAATTTTCCTGCATTCTTTGTGTTTGTTCCACCATTTTCATTAGCACCTCGTTAGCATCCGTCTTCCACTCTTCCACCTCCTCTATCCGTGCCTGAGCCTCGTTGAGGTCCGCTCGCTGTGCCTGGATATCCCGGTCATTCTCAGACCACCTGCGTTCTATTTCTTGTCGGAATCTCACCATTTCTTCCTTCATCTCTTTCTTCAGTTCATCCTTGAACTCAGCCAGCTCCCGACACAGCTCTTGTTTCAAGTTTTTGATATCAGTTCTGATGGTGGCGAACCCGTTTTGCAGCGTCACCGTGCTATCGCTTTCCTCCATTATCTCCTCTTTGTCTTCCTCGTGTTCGTTAGCTTCGCGTGTGGGTCTTTTACCCGTTGCAGGCAACTCTTCGCTTTCGTCTTGTTTTTTATTGCTTTTCCGACTTCTTTTCTTGCTCGTCCCACTCATACCTTAGTTTTACCTATCGAGTAATATTCTTATTGTGGGTTTTTTAACCGACCTCGGAGAGCTATCCAACTATGCGACCTCTCCCTCCGCCATCTTCCCGGAAGTCCCGCTACAGCATTTTAAAGTTTTTTACTATTGAAAACCGCTTGCACAGAGAATTGTAACTGTTATTCTAGAGTCTAGTTTAAGATTGATTTTATTATGTTGTTTTTATGTGTTTTTATATGTCTTATTGTACTGCTGCCTCTTGGCCAGGTCTCCCTCGAAAAAGAGATTTTATCTCAAGGGACTTCCTGGTAAAATAAAGGTTAAATAAAATACATAAATACATCTTCCTTTGCCGTGATCTGTAAAGATGACTATTTGTTCTTTTTTTATTTTTTAACTTCTATAAAGAGCCAAAATTAAAGATTATCACACCATCAGATGAGATTAAGTGATGCGGTGATATGTTCTGTGTTTTTGTTTCAGCTAATTGCTCATGTCCAAAAATTCCTCCAAAGAATTTTACTTTACCAAAAGATGGCTGCTTCAACAGTGGAGATACTTATCGTTACCAGTGTATTCAAGGCTATACAAATAAAGCAGGAACATCAACTCGCATTAAGTGTGAGGAGCAGGATGGTGTTTTGAACTGGTCGAAACCTTCACTTGTGTGTATACGTAATCTTCAGATTACAATCTTCTATTGTAATCTGTGTAAGATAATAACCCATTTTTGACAATAGAATCTGAGATTTACCTGCTGCCAGAAAGTTGCTAATTGCTTGTAAATTTGGAAAATTTCCCAACTACACCTTTCATGTATTCAGTTAACTAACAAATGACACTTGCTCCTTCTGTTTCAGCCAAGCCAGGATATAAACCACAGCCAACAACCAGCCAAGGTAAGAAACTGCTTTTCTCTTTTGAAAATATTAAAGCTTCAATTTCTGACAGGTAATTGTCTAAAAAGAGAAGAAGGCTTAAATGTGAATTTCTGACTATTTTCAATTATTTAACCAGACCATTACTTTTCCCTTCCTTACCTATTCAGTAAATTCACTTTAATCCCAGAAGCTAAAGTCGCCTGAAGTCAGTGATCTAGTGTATGTGAAGGCCGCTTATCTAACCTTTAAACAAATGTCATCTTTATTATATACTTGTAAAAGCACAGAATTTGATGGTTTGTTAATTTATTACAACCGAGTTTGAGTTATTCTTAGATTATATTTTTGATTAATAATTAGAATAGCCAAAGGTTCCTTTAAAGAGGAAACTGAAACTTTTCCCCTTGAGGAGTTCTGGATAGAGCATATTGTCAGATGAAAAATATTTTTTTTTAACTTAGATGAAAAATATTTCTATATTTTTTTGCCATTTTGATATAATTACTGCCGTAAAAGCATGTTTTAGAGTCTCTATACCCCAGTTAACAATCGATTACTACACTAGTTATCGATTATCTCAATAATTGTTTCATCACTGTCTAGTGGGGGAGGTTTAACAGGACCAATATGCAGACACTGAAGCAGAAGTGGTTTCTTAAAGATTTGAAAACAAAAAGGGTAACGGAAGCAAAATTCCAAAAACATAAATCCACAAAAATCCAAAACTACTGAAAACCATAAATACTCACAACAAGGCGGCAAAGAAATGACGACAAACCAGCAAAGATTGACTGAACAGGATGAGATTATATGGGAGAGAGAAACAAAGACCAGGCTAATTAGCAGATTGGGAGCAGGTGTGAACAGAGGAGGCTAGAAGGGAGCTAGGGAAAAGGAGACTGACACAAGAGGACAAGCAAGAAATATCTAAGAAGTCAAATACAATCAAAAAAACCTAGAATACAAAATGGAAATAAGACCAATGAAAACTCAGAGATGAAACTTGAACAGAACCAAAACCATGTCAATCACGATCAATCCGATTCATTGTTTCAGTCCTAAAAACACTGCTATGCCTTCCCTGGGATTCACTGCTGAACAACCAGCCAAGCTGCATCTGGTCAAACTGAATCAATGGAAGGAGATTAAAAAAAAACTTCACTACATTTAGGTTAGCATGGTACTAGCTTTAGTGCTAACTAGATCTACGGTATACCCTCTTTCCAACTGAAAATACCGGGTTAAGGGCGTGCAATTGGCAAAAAAAAGGCATGTCTAACCCCTGGCTGGCAAGCTGTGTGGCATCTGTCCCCCATAATGCTGGATTTGAGTTGATGTTACCAGTGCAAAAGAAATCAGGAAAGTAAACAATGGAGAGCAACATGTAAGGAAGCCAGAGCATAGTAAGTCAGCTTTATTGTTTTGCTCATCTGTCAGAATCCTTCTCACCAGTGCTGTGACATGTTTATTAAATCCAAACAGTTGTTTTGCCTTGTTAAAACGAAACCACTGGCGCTGAGTGTTGACGTTTGTACATTTCGCTCGATGATGTCACGTAAATTAGTCCGCGTCTGGTGTTCCCACAGCATGCTGATCAGATTTTAACGTGGGGTAGACATGCGCCAGTGAGCTGTTCCCACTGCCACTAAAAGCCGATTGTTCCTGGGTTTAAATTAGTTTTTCGGCCAGTGGGAATGGGGTATATGTCAGCCTATAGACATATAGACATATAGACATCAAGCTACTGTAAAAGAGGACGGAAGGAATGGAAGAGGATTTACTTTACATTGTTGGCAATGCAATTGATTTTGTTTGTTTTTTAGGTCAGTCCAGCGATTTGGTTCTTTTCATCAAATCCCTTTTTGTACTTTCCTTTTGTAAAAAATCTTTCTGGGTTTAAAATCATCACTCCTTCATTAATGACCGGGTCACAGAGGTAGCAGTCTCTGCAGAGGCTCTCAGACTTCCCTCTTCCCAGACCCCTCCTCTAGCTGGGGGAAGCCCTAGCTGCCTGAGGGAGGCATCCTGGGCGGCATCCAAAAAAGATGTTTTAACCACCTCCACCTTGATGTAGAGGAGAAACGGCTTCACTTTGAGCCAAACCTGGATGACCAAGCTCTTTACCCTAGCTCTTTTCTTGTGCCCTTTTGACCAGTGAGGTGGTGTTTACAATCCAGGTGAGGGTGTCTGTGATGTGCACCCTCAGGAATTTGGTGCAGCTGACCACCTCTACAGCTGAGCTGTTGATGACCAGTGGAGCGTGGTTAGGTGACGGTAGCCTGGACACAGGCGTCCCTGTGCTTCCCCCCGCCTGCCGCCCCTCTTGTGGCTGAGGACGGGCGGTTCATGGCTTTCTGCTGAGGTCTGGTCCAGTCAGCGGCTCAGCAGTCAACACTTCATACACCACCACTCCTCCCTTGGCTAGTAAACCAGTGGGCTGGTCTGTATGTCAATTTTGGGGCATGACAAAAGTACAGGCCAGAGCCAAAAAAGACAACATCCCCGGAAGAGGATTTATGTTACATTGTTAATAAAGATGGGCACACACTGTAGGATTTTTTGCCCTTTTCAGGCCGTTTTTCTGGTTGTTTGAGAATTTTTTTGATTGGCCCGATCTCCAGCCTCATCATGCGTCCTGGATTGTATAATATACAGAGAGTAATGAGGGGCAATAAGCCTCTAAAGACCACCTCCCGATCAGGAATGGTAAGATCAGGAGAAAATCCAACATGTTTGAAATTCAGTCGGCCCTCATGAGGTGTTTGTGGACAAATCCTGCTGTTGAGGCAGAGTTAGGAGTGTTTACAAGCCAATTTACCAGAACCTCCTGCACTGCGCATGTGCAAACAAGGGAATTCTTCTTATTATTTCTTCCAGGTTGACCAGTCAGACGTATGGTTTTTGGACATGCATACATATTTAAGTACATGTATGTACTGTACATACATACTGTACATGCATGTATGTACATAAATACATCTTCCTTTGTCATGATCTGTAAAGCTTTTTGTTCTTTTTTTATTTTTTAACTTCTATAAAGAGCCAAAAATAAAGATAATCACTCCATCAGATGAGATTAAGTGATGCGGTGATATGTTCTGTGTTTTTGTTTCAGCTAATTGCTCATGTCCAGAAATTCCTCCAAAGAATTTTACTTTACCAAAAGATGGCTGCTTCAACAGTGGAGATGCTTATCGTTACCAGTGTATTCCAGGCTATACAAATAAAGCAGGAACATCAACTCGCATTAAGTGTGAGGAGCAGGACGGTGTTTTGAACTGGTCGAAACCTTCACTTGTGTGTATACGTAAGATCTTTTTCTTCTATTGTAATCTGTGTAAGATAATAACCCATTTTTGACAATAGAATCTGAGATTTACCTGCTGCCAGAAAGTTGCTAATTGCTTGTAAATTTGGAAAATTTCCCAACTACACCTTTCATGTATTCAGTTAACTAACAAATGACACTTGTTCCTTCTGTTTCAGCCAAGCCAGGATATAAACCACAGCCAACAACCAGCCAAGGTAAGAAACTGCTTTTCTCTTTTGAAAATATTAAAGCTTCAATTTCTGACAGGTAATTGTCTAAAAAGAGAAGAAGACTTAAATGTGAATTTCTGACTATTTTCAATGATGTAACCAGACCATTACTTTTCCCTTCCTTACCTATTCAGTAAATTCACTTTAATCCCAGAAGCTAAAGTCGCCTAAAGTCAGTGATCTAGTGTATGTGAAGGCCGCTTATTGAACCTTTAAACAAATGTCATCTATATTATATACATGTAAAAGCACAGAATTTGATGGTTTGTTAATTTGTTACAACCGAGTTTGGGTTTGTGCATCACAGGTGGTCTTACTGTGTGAAAAACACCAAGAAAGCTGCACAGTTTATCACAAATTCATTATTGCACAGTTGTCATAACTGATTAATACATTTTAAATATATAAATAAATATATATAGCCAAGAATCCTCTAGACCCTTATATATATATATATATATATATATATATGCAAACACCATGTATTATGAGCAGCTTCCTACCATACTTTGATCAGTGGTACTTGTTTATTAAAGCAGGTTTAATGTTTCTGGTCGAGTATCGATCTAATATAAATTTAGATTGTTGCTTTTTTTACCCTTTTGCTGCTTTGATCCAACAGTTTCACTGACTTGTTCACTGCATATGTTTCACACATGGAAAGTATTGTTTGCCCCAACCCTTCATACCTGTTTTCTCTGTTTAGATAATAGCAGATTTCTGTGTTAGTATTCAAACACAATAATTGTAGCCTTAAGCCGGTCATACACTGTGCGATTTTTGTTCAGTCGTGGCACGCAGCTACAGCTCACATTGAACGACGACACCGCAGGGTTTCGTCGTACAGTGTGAGTTTACAGCTCACGATGCATGTTCTCACAATGTGCGAACCAACTCTCTGATGTGATCTACCCGCTCACACTGTACGTCTTAAAACCACGTCGGACTCCGTTCTGCAGGGACATGGCGCTACTTGGACTCGTCTATCTCGAAGCCAAAGCAGTAGAAGAGGAACATGAAGCGCACTAGAGTTTTGAACAAAGACATAGCTGAGCAAATGTGGCTACTACGGTCTGTCAATTTTACAGAAAGAACTCCATTTCAATCGCACCCCCGCCATCCTTCTGTATTTTCATCTGAGTGGAAGAAGAAGAAGAAGAATCCTTGTTTGCCCACTGAGCGATTTTGGCCATGACGGTCAACAGAAATTCAAACATGTTTAATTTTCTCCCAACCTCACAATTCCTGATTGGTAGGTGTTCATGAGAGGCTGATCTGCCTTGTTACCCCTGTACATTACATGATGATGATCAGGCTGAAAGTTGGCCTGATTAAACAATTTTTGCACGGCTGGAAAGTCTGTCCCAAAAGGGCAAAAAAATCGTACAGTGTATGGCCGGCATTAAAGGTTGTTTAATTAACACATTCCCCCACCTCCCCTCTCTACTGCTATTTTGTGAACGGAAAATTTAAAACTGTTCCTTTCAAGCTTTAATGAACACACTGGTCTCTTTTCCTGCTGTTGCAGAGGAACCAAACTTTAAACCAACTCCAACAAGTGCTTCAGGTAAGAAACACTTTTTTTCTTTTAAATATCTGAAAATGGAAGATGATTCACTTAAATTAGAAAGAATTTCTGCTGGACCGCTGTTTCATTGCAGCAAGGATGTCCTGTGTTTGTGCGCGTGGCCTTTTTTGGTTATCTGGATTCCTCCCACAGTCCAAAACACATGACTGTTAGGCAATTTGGTGTCTTTAAATGCTCTTAGGTGTGAATATGCATGGTTATAGGGATGCCCTGTGAAGGAGAAGCAAACCTTTCAGGGTGGACCCCCAATTTCGCCAATAGACTGCAGAAAAAAAGACACCGGGATCCTAACGGATAAGTGGCAGAAGATGGAAGTTTAAATCTTTTTGATTATTTTAGGCACTAGTGGCCTTTATTTGGTTGTTTTCGAAAGCATGAAGACAGGAACGTGGGTTACAGGAGAGACATTCAGCAAAGGTCAGCAGGGCCGAGACACCAACCTGTGACAGCTGGTATATGGGTCATGTGCTCTACCTCCACACCATAACACCACCCTAATTTAATCATTTTTAAATGTGCACTCAACCCCCCCCAAAAAAAGTTATTAAAACTTTTTAGGCCTCTAGAATCTATTAGGACCCTAAACATTGTTTGGTCTAAATATCAAAAGTTTTTAGCATATTTTAATTTGAAATCAAACGCAAAACCCAAAAGTCTTGTAAAACATTTAAAAATAATTCATATAGGTGAAAGAGCCCTTCGCCAAATTGTAAAATCTAGAGCCAGTCTATCTAGATTTGGTACTTTTAAGATGAAACAATAGGAAACTTCTAAGTAGATGTTCTAACAAAATGAGAACAAAACCTTGTAATTTAACAGACCTATAAAGCTAAAGAGCTTTTAGAAAAAAAACAAAACAAAAAAAATCGTTTAGGCGGAATTAAGGCTTTTATCTTAAAGGGATTTTTATTCCCTAATATACTGACTAAATAACACTTTGGATTACAGTTGTACATTTTGTTTTTGTTATTTTTCTTTTTAAGTGTGCAGGAACAGTAAAGTTAAAATGTCTTGTAAATATCAGAAGCATGCATAAAAGAAAAATAGTTTTATCTTCGTCTCCCTTTGCGTTTGGGATTGGAGAGAACGCTGAATACACACAGGCATGTCCAAAGTCAGTCCTTGAGGGCCGCTGTCCTACAGGTTTCCAATGTTTCTCAGCTTCAGCACAGATTATTTTGATGTTTTCAGATAAGTAAAAGCCAGTTTATCAGCCATCAATGAAAAATCAGCTGGGCTGAAGCAGGGAAAGCTCTATAACCTTCAGGAAAGCAGCCCTCCAGGTCCGACTTGGACATTATTCCCTGTGTCCAAACCCCTGAGCTCACTTGATGGTGGGTTAACAGGCTTTTCCGGAGTTACTATTATTTGAATCAGATGTGTTAAAGCAGGAATACCTCCTAAATCTGCAAGATACCAGCCCTTAAGGACTAACGTAGACATCCCAGCAGTAAGGATTCAATTTGTTGACCGTGAAGAGCCCACTGGTGGGGCCTTGAGGCTTAAGGAACCTGTAGCTTTTAACTGAGACCGGTTCAATTTGCTTAGATAACGATTTTCAATGTTTGTCTTTTTAATATATTTTTTAATATTCTTCTTTTCTCCATATATGCAGCTTTCATATTTTTGTCTGGTGTTATAAGTTCAGGCAAGGCCATCTGTATTTTTCTTTATATAGCTTAAATGTTATGAGCAAGATTCACATCTTGTCTTTTTTTCCCCATTTAAACATGCACAAAAAACGTACACTACCGTTCAAAAGTTTGGGGTCACATTGAAATGTCCTTATTTTTGAAGGAAAAGCACTGTACTTTTCAATGAAGATAACTTTAAACTATTCTTAACTTTACAGAAATACACTCTATACATTGCTAATGTGGTAAATGACTATTCTAGCTGCAAATGTCTGGTTTTTGGTGTAATATCTACATAGGTGTATAGAGGCCCATTTCCAGCAACTATCACTCCAGTGTTCTAATGGTACAATGTGTTTGCTCATTAGCTCAGAAGGCTAATTGATGATTAGAAAATCCTTGTGCAATCATGTTCACACATCTGAAAACAGTTTAGCTCGTTACAGAAACTGCAAAACTGAGCTTCCTTTGAGCAGATTGAGTTTCTGGAGAATCACATTTGTGGGGTCAATTAAATGCTAAAAATGGCCAGAAAAAGAGAACTTTCATCTGAAACTCGACAGGCTATTCTTGTTCTTAGAAATGAAGGCTATTCCATGTGAGAAATTGCTAAGAAATTGAAGATTTCCTACAACGGTGTGTACTACTCCCTTCAGAGGACAGCACAAACAGGCTCTAACCAGAGTAGAAAAAGAAGTGGGAGGCTACGTTGCACAACTGAGCAAGAAGATAAGTACATTAGAGTCTCTAGTTTGAGAAACAGACGCGTCACAGGTCCCCAACTGGCATCTTCATTAAATAGTACCCGCAAAACACCAGTGTCAACATCTACAGTGAAGAGGCGGCTGCGGGATTCTCGGCTTCAGGGCAGAAAGGCAAAGAAAAAGCCATATACACTATATTGCCAAAAGTATTTGCTCACCTGCCTTGACTCACATATGAGCTTAAGTGACATCCCGTTCCTAATCCATAGGGTTCAATATGACGTCGGTCCACCCTTTGCAGCTAGAACAGCTTCAACTCTTCTGGGAAGGCTGTCCACAAGGTTTAGGAGTGTGTTTATGGGAATTTTTGACCATTCTTCCAGAAGCGCATTTGTGAGGTCGCACACTGATGTTGGACGAGAAGGCCTGGCTCTCAGTCTCCGCTCTAATTCATCCCAAAGGTGTTCTATCGGGTTGAGGTCAGGACTCTGTGCAGGCCAGTCAAGTTCATCCACACCAGACTCTGTCATCCATGTCTTTATGGACCTTGCTTTGTGCACTGGTGCACAGTCATGTTGGAAGAGGAAGGGGCCAGCTCCAAACTGTTCCCACAAAGTTGGGAGCATGGAATTGTCCAAAATGTCTTGGTATGCTGAAGCATTCAGAGTTCCTTTCACTGGAACTAAGGGGCCAAGCCCAGCTCCTGAAAAACAACCCCACACCATAATCCCCCCTCCACCAAACTTTACACTTGGCACAATGCAGTCAGACAAGTACCGTTCTCCTGGCAACCGCCAAACCCAGACCCGTCCATCAGATTGCCAGATGGAGAAGCGCGATTCGTCACTCCAGAGAACGCGTCTCCACTGCTCTAGAGTCCAGTGGCGGCGTGCTTTACACCACCGCATCCGACGCTTTGCATTGCACTTGGTGATGTATGGCTTGGATGCAGCTGCTCGACCATGGAAACCCATTCCATGAAGCTCTCTGCGCACTGTTCTTGAGCTAATCTGAAGGCCACATGAAGTTTGGAGGTCTGTAGTGATTGACTCTGCAGAAAGTTGGCGACCTCTTCGCACTATGCGCTTCAGCATCCGCTGACCCCACTCCGTCAGTTTACGTGGCCTACCACTTCGTGGCTGAGTTGCTGTCGTTCCCAAACACTTCCATTTTCTTATAATACAGCTGACAGTTGACTGTGGAATATTTAGGAGCGAGGAAATTTCACGACTGGATTTGTTGCACAGGTGGCATCCTATCACAGTTCCACGCTGGAATTCACTGAGCTCCTGAGAGCGACCCATTCTTTCACAAATGTTTGTAAAAACAGTCTGCATGCCTAGGTGCTTGAATTTATACACCTGTGGCCATGGAAGTGATTGGAACACCTGATTCCAATAATTTGGATGGGTGAGCAAATACTTTTGGCAATATAGTGTATGAAACTGGCCAATAAAAGAAAAAGATTAAGATGGGCAAAGAACACATACATTGGACAAAGGAAGACTGGAAAAAAATGTTGTGGATGGATGAATCCAAGTTTGTGGTGTTTGGATAAAAAAGAAGAACGTTTGTGAGATGCAGAACAAATGAAAAGATGCTGAAGAATGCCTGACGCCATCTGTTAAGCATGGTGGAGGTAATGTGATGGTCTGGGGTTGTTTTAGTGCTGGTAAGGTCGGATATTTGTACAGGGTAAAAGGGATTCTGAATAAGGAAGGCTATTACTCCATTTTGCAACGCCATGCCATACCCAGTGGACAGCGCGTGATTGGAACCAATTTCATCCTACAACAGGACAATGACCCTAAACACACCTCCAAATTGTGCAAGAACTATTTAGAGCAGAAGCAGGCAGCTGGTATTCTATCGGTAATGGGGTGGCCAGCAAAGCTGTAATTGCTGCAAATGGAGGATTCTTTGACGAAAGCAAAGTTTGATGTAAAAAAAATCTTATTTCAAATACAAATCATTATTTCTAACCTTGTCAGTGTCTTGACTCTATTTTCTATTCATTTCACAACGTATGGTGGTGAATAGGTGTGACTTTTCAGAAAAACACAAAATTGTTTGGGTGAACCCAAACTTTTAAATGGTAGTGTATACTGACCGGTTATCTCTGACGGACATTTCATGGTAGTTTACTTTAAATAAAGTCTGGTTTGTGAATAGGGCACTTTGGTGAATCCCCTGTCATTTTCCTTCAAGAAAAAAATCCCCCTCCACATCATAAAAAAAAAAAAATGTATATATATATATATATATATATATATATATATATATATACCCTGTCATAATCAGAATTCTGACATCCATTATAAATAGCAATGTATCATCAGCATACAGTATGCATAGTTAGCAGATTGTGTTGATCTTGCAGGTAATTCTGCATAGCAATTAAAACTGTTCTATAAAATGTTTATATTTTATATCTTAGATGTTTATTATTTATATATTATGTTTGTTATATTCTGCTACCCAGTGAGAAAAAAATGGTTTCTATGGATGGATTAGCATATTTAATAATGATTTGATCAAACCTGTAGGAGAGAGGAATATCAACATTGTCGTGTTGGAAAGTGATTAAAAATACTAAACACCTTTAAAAGTAAAAATCACTCTATAAAATAATTAAAATAATTATCAATCATTGAGGCTGTGTTTGAAGAGATGGCATGGAGGGATCTATTAGTGCAACAGTTTCAGAGAATAAAACAACACATTATAAATTAGATTTACTTCCTGTTCTGTAATCCAGTTTGGAAATCAGTGGAAGCTTTCTGCATGCTTGATGGATTTTAACTGAGCAACAGAAGAGTATTGCTCTGACTGCAGGCTTGGATTGGTGCCTAACGATGAGCTGCTGAGACTGACCACCTGTCAATGCTTTGGTGATGGGAGGGGCTTACAGCAGCACTTGCTGCTCAGTGAAGAACACTTAGACTGATTTGTGCTTTGATGTATTGTTGCCAATGTCTCCAACAGTAGATGAAAAATCCCTAGTTTTTTCACTAGTTGCTTTTTACAGAAATAGTAATATTAGTTAAACTTTATTGATCTTTATTGATCTAAAGCCACTTTTTCAATCTGCAGACTACAGTCTCTAATTTTTCTTTACCCTTATAGAGCAGTGAACCTTAGTAGCTACTTTCACAGCTACCATTTTTTTTTTTTTTTTTGCAGTTAAAGTATATTTTAATGTATTTGATCATGAAATTACTTTTAAACTCCAACCCTCATATCTCATATAAACTACCATTCCCATCGGATTTTAAATTACACGCATGTTTGAAAATGTGCAAAATTATGCATTATATGCTCTAGGTCTGATTTAAAGATTATTTTAAAATTAGCTGCAAGAAAGAAGGAAAACTTAAGGGTGGTACCAGAAGTAGTTTTATCAGATAATGAGATAACTAGAAATAAAAGCTGATGCAAACGTCTTTTCCTGTTCACAGAAACTTCCACCAACCAGAGTGTTAGAGGCTCTACTGAAGCTTCGAACTGCATCTCCAGGCCGGAAACATTGCGTAAGAATGATAAAATCTAAACAGTACATGTCGATGTTTGAGCAAATATTCCCTAAAGGTCTAAGAAAATAACATAAGCATAAATATTTAGAAATATCTTCATTCTGACAGTGCTAAAGCCTGTTGAACATTCCACTGATGGCAAGATCAAATGCCAAGATTTTTAAAAATCATCTCCTTTCCATTAATCATGAAACCTGATGTATTTGATGCAAGTTAATTTCTGAACTGCTTTACTCTGCTGCTGAGCCAACCTGAAAAGTCAGATGATTATATTAGTTGTGTTGGCCTGTCATGTATTTGATAATCTCTATCTAAACTAGCGTTTTCACAGTTAATGTCGTCGCTAAGATTTAATGCAGATTTCCCAAATGATTTCTTGTCAGAACATCAGCTCATTTCTGAGAAAACTTGAAGAAGCTGTTCTGAGTAAAAACAAAGTGTTAGAGATCAATGAGCAGCGGTGAATTTAAAAGATCCAGGGCCCAAGGTGAAGGCCCAAGGTGTGGGCCCCCTGAAATGAGAAGAGAACGCAAAACAGGTCGATTGCACAAATACATTTCACACAGCACACATGTATATTTTGATTTGGCTTTTGTCACTTTCTTCTGTCCCCCTCTCATCTAGTCTATGAAGGTTATTTGTTTCAAAACTAGTTGTGCATTGTAAGTGTGAATTTGAAGTTGTAGAGAGATTTACATTCCATATTTTGTATTTCAAGTACAAATTTTTTTACACCTGTGCAGAATTTGTATACTTGTATTTAAAATTAGAACATCAAAAACCTCAATTTGTGTACTTTTACTTGTAGAATTTGAAGAGGTTTAACTTTTTTTGGTAACTGTGACAGATAAAAAAAATCTACAGTTACGAAACACCAAAGTTACAATGCGCACATAGTTTTGCAACGATATTGTTCTGAAGTATTTGAAGCAAAACTGAGAATGATAGATGTTTTTGAAGTGCAACTTGTAGAACAGAATTTGTCTACTTGTACTTAAAATTTAAACAGGTGTAAAAAAAAAAGTTTGTGCTTGTGAATTTCTTTTTTATTTCTACTCATACAAAACTTAGAATGTAACTCTCTCTACAACTTTAAATTCACTCTTACAATGCACAGATAGTTTTGAAACAAAATTACCTTTTTCTTGACATTTCTCTCCTTTTTTCTTCTTCTGTCCCTTTCTTTCCTTTTTCTTGCTCTCTCTCTTTTCTTGGTCTATTTGTCTTGTAGCTTTTATATTTTCTCCCTTTTTTCACTTAAAATCATATTTTGCTAGCCCTATTAAATAATCAATGACCAGATCCATATCCACTGGCTAAGGAACCCCCAAGAAAAATCCCCCAAAGCCTGAAGTTTTCCTGGAAGAACAGTTAAAAAAAACACCTAAATGATTTCCGGTGTAGATACCAAATGTGTTCAGATGGTCAGATCTGCTCAGGGCCCTGCGCATCCCAGTGACGTTACGCTGCATGATTGGCTGAACGTTTCCTCAATGACTTCAAACATTGAGGTTGCCCAGACAACAATAATAACATAATGCAGCGTCCATGTGTCGAGTCAGGAGGATCTGTAGTGTTAGGATGTCTAAAATTATTTCAATTGTCAACAAAATAACTGCAAGACCATTTGAATAAAGGGGAAGAGCTGGGTAGGTCTGAGGTTAGCTGAGTAGTTAACAGGTTAGCCTCTTTTAGCCTGCTCATTTAGCCATATTAAGCTACATTTCTTTAACTTTTTCTCAACAACTACCATCTAATTTCTACAAGATGAATAAATGTTGTTTTCTTTGTCAAAAATCTTCTGGAAAGTCATTTTTTAAGATGATTGTTTTCTACTTTCTGCTACTTTAGATCGAAATAATATCTTGAAACTCCAGAAGAGATTTGATTTTTATAAAAAAGTGCAATACAGTTTGTCCGAGTGGTGTTGCCATATTGTGATGTCATCAGCAGGAGCAGGGCCCCGAGCAGATCTCGTACCTACACCGTCTCATCCTCTGAACGAAAAAAAAAACAAAATACAAAACCAACATCATAATGACCCATACATAAACTATTCTGTTCTCAATCTGATGAATAAAAACTTCTAAGTATAGGAAGGCAAAAATCTCTCCTTCGACAGTTTTGATATTCACTAGAATAGATCGTCCCCAACAGGTGTTGACGTCATGAACATCATTTTTGGTAACTTTGAACAGTTTCTGCTCTAATCCTTTCTTCTTTTCAGCAACCCTGGGGCAGCTTCTTTTCTCTCCTCAATAAGCAATAAGCATCCTGAGGTCAATTTAGTGAGAGATTATAAAAAAATATATAATAAATGTGAATAAAAAAGTAATAACTGTATCAGCTATACATGTATGAGGATATTTACGGCGCCCTCAGATACTTCAGCCTCTTGACACTTGTCTAGTTCTGGCTAATGTTAACTCTATCCAATGACTTATTTCTCCTTATTATGCTGCGATAGAGGTTTTATTTGCATTTGGAAATGTTACTAGTTTTAACATTTAATGTAAACAAAAAACAGATGGGATCTGTTTCGCTTTGCTAAAGATGAGTGCAGAAGGGTAAAATAAATGCAAATTTTTTTTTGTTTTTTTGTTTTTATGGCACTAGTGGCTGTTTTTTATGGACAGTAGGCTGACTGGAGAGGGGGTGAGACATGCAGTAAAGGACCACAGGTCCTTTACTGCATGTCACGCGCACGTCGAGGACTAAGGTTTCCATACATGGGTCCTGTGCGCTAACCACTGCAACACCAAAACACACCACTAAATGCAACTTTTGAAAAGAAACCGGGAAAAAAAAAACAGCAGTAAATGTGGCCAGAGTGAGAAAGATGAAATCTTAACAGGTTGATTAAAAACATAACTTGTAAAGTTCCGTCTGCAGGGTTAACAAGGGTTCATCCAGATGGATGTTTCAAAACTGACTGGTAACCTTTAGTTTGTATTTTCAGAACCAGTTTTGATATTAAAGGTCATAAAAAAAATAAAGGAGTCAGTTACAGAGAAACTGTGAAAGAGCCATGAACCCATTATCTGAGAAAGGTGAGGCTGGAGAGATAATCACCGGTTAAATTAGCATTTTATCTCTTATATGAGTTTCTGGTTTGTGTCATTTAGTAATCGGAAGAAATTGGTTAGAAATTTATTAATCTATAAATGATAAGCCTGTACTAGGATGAGTCAAGTTTCTCACCTAGAAATAACCACATTCTAGATAGTATCTCAAAAAAATACTTCTTATACTCTTTAACTGGAAATTTTCTGTATGGTATAGGCCTGCATTCTAATATATTTTTAAGGAGATTGTTATTATGTTATGTTATGTGTCTGTTTAAGAATAGTGGTAAACTGACAGAGGAGAAGAGATGAGGAAAACAGAGACTGATATAAAGGTTAATAAAAATATAGGAAAGAGCACAAGTTATTAATTAAAGTAGATCATCTCAGCAGAGTGAGTAACTGAAGGCTTTTAAAAAATATTTACCCATCACTAAAAACAATAAAAGAAAAGATAAGGTAGGATAATATATATCAAGATGGAAATTAATTTGTTACGTTAGCTCTAATAAATAACAGGATGTGCAAAAGAAGGAAAAAAGGCACATCAAAGAAGTGAGTCAGGCTGAAATAAAAAAAAGATGTTTAATACAATAAAGTGATCGTATATACGTTCAAGTACATTAAAGTACAATCTGTTCGACAGCAAATACTGTATATTGATATAAATTTTTATTATTTCTATTATAGTACAAATACTGTAATGTGTTGGCAGTATAATAGCATATATTTTGCTCAAAAATACATATTTTGGGGGATTTTCATTATTTTTCCAAAACCATCTCACATTAAATATTATATTTTTGTCGATGATAGAGCAGAGGTCACAAATTAGCAGGCTGCCATCCGGATCCGGACCCACCTGCTGACTATTCCGGACCCAAACAGATTTAAAATATTTATAAATGACCGCATGTTGTCTGATGACAGTGTCTAAATTCACTTGCACTGCTTCTCCTGTTAATACGGTAAAGCCCTCCGGATCGTCCAGCACCAGGCTGCACGTGATCCAAATGATCCAATGAGCTGCTGTCAGTCTGGGTTGCTGCTGCTGCTACTTTTAGACACAGCAGGCAAACCTGTGGCAAGCCGGGCGATGGGAAAGAAGGAGAAGAAGATGAGAAAAAGAGAGCAGAGAAAGTGTGGACTGCTGGAAGAACTGCAGTGAACTGGTGAAAGAAAAGTGAAATGGTGCTCAAAGATGACCCTGCACATTTAGAGGATGTTTGGCTCAACCTGCTGCTGTGAAGCGGGATTCTCCACCATGAACAGAATCAAAAATAAATATGGATCCAGACTCAGAATAAGCACCTTGATATGTGCTTTAGAATGGCTTAGTCTCCATTCAAACCCAGGTTTAAAGCCTTCCAGGGCAGCATAAAGCCCACTGCGAACATTAAGACAGAAAAAGAAAGAAAAAGTGTTTTATAAAACAAATGAGTCAGGAAATGGTCTATATAACAAACTGAATGATTGTTGTTCTCTACTTCAAAAACAATTTAGATTTTAAAATAGAAAAACTTTCTATTTTTTATATTTCTTATTTAAAAATGCAGTGTTTGACATAAAAAAACTCATTTTATTTCAGTGTTAAATTCTGTTTAAAGTAACAGATTATAACTGAAAATGTCTCCAGACCTTTACTGGTTGATGAGTTTCTTTATTCGGACTGCACTGATTTTAAATTGGTTACCCCTGTGATAGAGGAATAGTTTTAGCTGATTGTGTGTTTTTGTTTTTTTCACTGCAAAGGAGTCGCCATCTGTTTACCTCTGGCGGTCCTATTTGCTGTCATGACTGGCATCATCATCTTAATGTATAAAAGGTGAGCAGATCTACAGAGCACTCTCACCCCTTTGACCTTAAACTTCTTATGTCTCTGCTGACAAAAAGGTGCATTTCTATTCTTACATCTAAGGAGAAACAAGCCGATTCTCTCCAAAGACGCTGAGGAACTGGAGCCAATGAAGTGCTGAGTCATGACAGACACCACATGGCATTAACAGGAAGGAAGATCTGCCAGGATGTACTTCAATATAAATATAACGTCTTTAAAGCCGTCCCCACTGCTTTTGGAAATGCTTTTGCAATCTTGTGTTTTATAGCTAACCGACATTATTTGAACTAAAGGCATGATTAAAGAAAGAGACTATAAAAGCTTTGGCATATATATTAGCTTAATTTTATTTTTATTTTATTTAATGTTTTTTGCAGGTCAGTATTCAGCACTTTGCGTGTATCCTATAATGGCTGCAAAACAGCCGATGTAACTTTATCTGTTTCTGAGACCCAGAGCGCTGCTTTATGGCAGTCTGAGCTAACTAATCTAACAGTTGTTGTCAGACAACAAAACAGGGGTAACTACACTCCCCGGCCACTTTATTAGGTACTCCATGCTAGTAACGGGTTGGACCCACTTTTGCCTTCAGAACTGCCTCAATTCTTCGTGGCATAGATTCAACAAGGTGCTGGAAGCATTCCTCAGGGAGTTTGGTCCATATTGACATGATGGCATCACACAGTTGCCGCAGATTTGTCGGCTGCACATCCATGATGCGAATCTCCCGTTCCACCACATCCCAAAGATGCTCTATTGGATTGAGATCTGGTGACTGTGGAGGCCATTTGAGTACAGTGAACTCATTGTCATGTTCAAGAAACCAGTCTGAGATGATTCCAGCTTTATGACATGGCGCATTATCCTGCTGAAAGTAGCCATCAGAAGTTGGGTACATTGTGGTCATAAAGGGATGGACATGGTCAGCAACAATACTCAGGTAGGCTGTGGCGTTGCAACGATGCTCAATTGGTACCAAGGGGCCCAAAGAGTGCCAAGAAAATATTCCCCACACTATGACACCACCACCACCAGCCTGAACCGTTGATACAAGGCAGGATGGATCCATGCTTTCATGTTGTAGACGCCAAATTCTGACCCTACCATCCGAATGTCGCAGCAGAAATCGAGACTCATCAGACCAGGCAACGTTTTTCCAATCTTCTATTGTCCAATTTTGATGAGCTTGTGCAAATTGTAGCCTCAGTTTCCTGTTCTTAGCTGAAAGGAGTGGCACCCGGTGTGGTCTTCTGCTGCTGTAGCCCATCTGCCTCAAAGTTCGACGTACTGTGCGTTCAGAGATGCTCTTCTGCCCACCTTGGTTGTAACGGGTGGTTATTTGAGTCACTGTTGCCCTTCTATCAGCTCGAACCAGTCTGGCCATTCTCCTCTGACCTCTGGCATCAACAAGGCATTTCCGCCCACAGAACTGCCGCTCACTGGATGTTTTTTCTTTTTCGGACCATTCTCTGTAAACCCTAGAGATGGTTGTGCGTGAAAATCCCAGTAGATCAGCAGTTTCTGAAATACTCAGACCAGCCCTTCTGGCACCAACAATCGTGCCACGTTCAAAGTCACTCAAATCACCTTTTTTCCCCATACTGATGCTCGGTTTGAACTGCAGGAGATTGTCTTGACCATGTCTACATGCCTAAATGCACTGAGTTGCCGCCATGTGATTGGCTGCTTAGAAATTAAGTGTTAACGAGCAGTTGGACAGGTGTACCTAATAAAGTGGCCGGTGAGTGTATATTTTCTGCTCTCTGATGTAGGTTTTAATATTAAAGGTCAAACGTGTCCTTATTTTTACACGTAATCGTGACTTCTCGATCTACTGGTCCAAGGTGGTTAAAAACATGGAGGGAGAATGTTTTAATTTAGCGATAGTGCAGTGTCACCAATGGCCTGCAGGGGCACTAAACCTGGAAGTTATATGTTAAGTGTTGCTTCAATTATTTGTATCTGTTGTTAGTAGATTAACTTTATGTGAGATTTATTATTGTATACTAATGGATTGTAAGACTTTTAAAAGGATATAGCTTTGGAATGACAAGCAATAAAAATATAAACCAAAACTGTTGCGAATATTGTTTCATTTTACAGGGAAAATGTTAAAGTTAAATACCTGCATCTTAAATTGATAATGTATGACACACAAACAGAAATGCATAAAGAAACTCTGACCCGTGTTCAGCCAGGACCAGTCATAGATTGGATGTGGCCCCAAGCAGAGGTGATTTGGGGCCCGCAGTGTCAACAAGGGTTTTTACAAATTGAAATGTTTTAGAATTAATTGCTGACCTTTAGTTTATATTTTCAGAGTTTGTTATGAGTTGACGATACAAGGGCGAGGGGGCATTTTTTGGAGTGTTGAAGGTGGAGTCATAAATCCACTATGTCTTAACTCAAAAGAGGAGCTAGGATCTGAGCTAAGGGGAGCGTGTAGATGTTGCATAGGAGGGACCCCAGAATGGAGCCTTGAGGAACCCCGCATGTGATTTTTCCAGTTTGATTTAAAATTACCTACTGACACATATAATAGTCCATATCTTTCTTTCTCTCTATAGATTTCATAGTTAAGTTGCTTATGATGGGTAAAGTTAAAAGAAATTATACGCAAAACTAGTCTTCAAAGATATGTATTTTCTCTAAAAGTTACTTAAGTAAATGTAACTATTGTACATTTACTTGTGTTGGTAGATAATAAGGTTACATTTACTAATGTAACTACACCAAAAAAGGAATAAATGAGCTCCTTCTGACATCTAAATGAACCTAACTAACAACTGTAGATGGTTGAGAGGCATGTACAGTTAACCAACACTAGATAAGCACAATTTCATTTGCAGTATTTAACAAAATAGTTTTTAAAAAATCTATTTTTATTGGACCCTTCTATCTAGAACAAATCCTGTGCACAAATAGATGCTGCAGAAATGTTAGTTTCAAAAGTTAAAGATAAAGTTATCCTTCCGTGTCAAAACCACAGCTGATAAGGAGGCACATCAAGGAAATGAGCTTCCTTTCTCAGAACCTTTGATACCGTACGCCTTGGTTATATATGTGCCTCTGTGGTTGGTGCAAGTTCTGCAGTGGCTAGCAGGTTGATCTTGCATAAGGTAAGACAAAGTAGTGCATGATGCCTCCAAGCAGGTGTTATATGCACACGTTCTGCATTCCTTATATGTGCACAAGAGCTGTTGATTGATTTGTGAAAGGCTCCACGTGGCCTGGTTTTAGGCCCAGCAGCTGTATCCTGATGCTGTCCAATTTGCAAACATTGACTCGTTTGTGAATTTAAGCTTGAAAGGTTCTTCAAGCTGGACCATATTAAATGCCCTTCAGTATGCCACATTCTACCCTTATTTTTTTGTGTCTGTTTTCTATTTCTGACCTAAACATGGCAAGGAGAAAGCATCAGGTTTATTCCTAAAATCCAAGCAGTGGCGGCTGGTGGAGTTTTCTCCAGGAGGGGCTGTATATGCAAAATAGATGTATACTAAATACCAATCAAAAGTATACTAAGTTATTACACTAGTATATTTATATGAATACCAGCAAGAAAAAACATTATAAAAACACTTTATATAAACAAAACATAATTTTATGTACAGGTTTTCTTTTTGTTCATATATTTTTATAGTTTATATAGTTAATCTGTGTTTTGCATGGTCCAATATGGTGTCACAAACCTAAAAAAAAAAAGTTTAATAATGGAGAAGCTTATAAGCAGCTTTATACTTTTTTAATATATGAAAACTATTTTCTGAGAACATGTTTATTTTAGAGCAACTGTGCAAATAAACAGACACCTAGAAAAAGTACACAATATTAGTTATTTTTTCAGGCAGACGAGCTCCGAGCCAGCTCCCATGCCAGAGGACGAAGAGAGCACATTCACTCAGTCCCGGTCAGAGAAACAGGACCACACTGGAAAACAGGCCGTTCTCCAACATCTATAAACAAGGGTGTTGGATGTTGTCATCCAAAGTTGTACTGACATCTTTAAGGGCGAAGAGGCACCTTACCCTTCATTGACAGCATCTTCACAGAAGGGGATGGGGGGGCAGAGTGGGCATCGACATTAGGCTTAAGCCCTGGTTATCCTCCCACACCAGTGTGGTTAGCAGTGAGCTTGTCGGAGATATTTTTGATTTATGCCCAATATTGAAGCATGGTACATGGTGCTATGTTATTCCACGCCACAACCAAGAGGGACAACCAGGAACTAGCTGTGGGTGTAGATACGGCCGAGGCGGTGAGGAAGTGGGGCAAGTTTGTGCGACAATGGAGGGACATGAGTGTTAAAAAGAGCGGGTATCCAGTTGGAAAAAGGGTCCCAGCGTTCTTGCGTACCTCGCTGTTCTAGCTGGTCCATCTTCACGAGTCGTTTTCCACAATGGCGGTCATACAAACAAAACAAGCCGGTAAGGTACCAAACAGGAAATAAGCATAGTGTAGAGTGGATGTAGATTTGACCAATCAGAGGCCTCCTGTCTGCAGTCATCTACAGTTTAGGAGAGGTGCAGCAGAGTGACTGCAGAAGGGGGCGGGGCACATCTGTGTTAACTGCGACACACACGCAGACGACCTGGTTTTTGAGCATAAACCTGCCTTAACGGGGTAGAATCGCTAGCATTAGCCAAAATGCTGTCTAATGTTAATTCATGAGGGCATTTGTAATTAGGAAATGAAAGTGTTATTTGACTAGCTCGGTTTATATTACCGATTCTTTTCCAATTCTAAAGGCAAATCATTTAAAGTAAACTTTTAAATGTTATTTAATATGTGAGTAATATTAATCTCAGCAAGAACCACCTTTCTCTGCCTCCGATTGACTCCCTGGTGGTCATGTCTACCATTAACCAATGCAATCAGTAAAGCCTTCTTCTTCTTCTTCTTCTTCTTCTTGTAGTGTTTTATGGCGGGTGGCAAACTAATTAAAGTGCATTACGGCCACCAATTGATAAGAAGTTAAACTAGAAAACAGGAACAAGACTCACAACCATAAAACAAATAAATAAAAAAATTTTTTTTTGATCATTTTAAATAATAATTTTAATATTTAATTTAACCCTGTCAGGGTTTTGCCCTGTGTTTAATTTTATTTTTAGTTTCTTCGTTATTCTGTGTCTTTGTAGTTGTTTTCTGTCAGTTTGGTAGTTCTTTAGTTACTCTCTGTTGCCCCCTTGTGGTTGTTTCCTTTCCCCTTGGCTCCCTTCTAGTTAGTTCAATCCACACCTGCTCCATATCAGCTCGTTTGCCCATCCTTTGTTCTGTTCCCATATATACACCAGCTCTGCAGTTCCTGTTGGCTGGTTTGTTTTTGTTTTGTTACTTCGTGGTCTCCTTGCTTCCCATATGTGTTTACGCTAATGTTAGTGGATTTTTTTGGTTCTCTGCATTTTGTATTTTCTTGGATTATTGCCTCACTTGCTTGTGAGTCCTTTTTTACATCAGCTAAATTAATCTCTGCTTTTAGGTCCTCTAATCCTCCACTCAAACTTTACAAACCCAACATAAAAAATAACAAATATTTAATCAAATTCGTCCTCATAATTTCTAATTTATTTTAATGTTAGCAGCACTGTGGCAGTTTCTTATTGTTCTTCTCATTTTCCCATCATAATTTCCACCGTTTCACAGTTTAAATCTCTCGCTTCAAGGTACTTTTCTGCAGCTTCACTGTTATTTTGATTTTTTTTTTCTCTGTCTTCTTGATCGTCTGAACACTACATTTGGTCACTGCTACCATGACAAGCACAACCCTAACCCTAACCCTTTTTTACAATTTAATTTGTCTTTTGCAATTTTGGGGCACTCCTAACAAGTTTTTGCAATTGTCATTTGTGTCACTGTTCAATTGGGTCTTTCTGACTTGGATGGGATTCTTTTTGTAGCTTCAGCATAAGTTTCCAAGCTCTAATTTCCCTTTTCTGATCTCTTCAGATCTTTTGCTCACTTCACATCCGCACACAGTTACAGCATTTAATTTTAATTTCTTAGACTTAGACACAACTTGGGATTTCTCCTTCAGGGAAATTCTGGTTCCAGTAGCTTATATAGAGTACAAAGAGTTAAAGCAAAATGCCATTAAAGATAAAAAATATGACAGACAATATAAACAGAGTGTATATACTACCAAAATAGCATTTAAAAAAAGTTGTAATGTCCTGGAACATGTTTCTCATTAGATATAAAAATATCTGCCCAGTAGAGAGCTGATATATAGTAGTAGACTTCAATTATTGCACATCTCTGTACTGCAAAGATGTATTGACATAATGAATAAGTAAAAAAAAAAAATATATACACAGGCTACAGAGTAGTTGGCATGAGTTATTGCACAGTGAGAGAAAAGAATATTGCAAATGAGTGACAATAGGTTTTCATATTATTGCTCTCCATCACACCTTCCACATTGTTGTTTTCCTTTACATACAGCTGCTATATGACCGGATTTTTGGCATTTGAAACACCTCCGAGGCGGAGGATTGTACATTTTCACATTGTAGCTCATATATCCTTACTTGGTAATTGCTCTTCTTCAAATTTGATTAACACTGATAAGCTTTCACACCTTTCTCCATTTCTTTTTGTCTTTAACCATTTCACCACTTACCTTTGCACCACTTATATTTTCTAGAATTTCTTTGTCAGTTACCTTAAGAGGAACTCCTCCAGTGACCCCCCTGCTAATCATTTTGTTTTCCACCAAGCAGCACTGAACCATTTTCCCCTTGTTAATACAAGATTGCAAACATGCTTGTGAACCTTCCGCCACAAGACATTTTTTTCTCTCCATCCAGAAAGCTTTTTCAATTCAAAATGTCAGGAATAGCATTAAGTTTTTGGTTTTATATAGTAATTCTGAGGGCGTCTTTCCCAGAATAGAGTGCAATATGCTGGTCAATATTATCAGTCATCCAGGTCATAGTCATTTCAAAAAAATTACTGAGTTTGAGGTATAAAACCTCGAACTCAACGCTATTCCTGACATTTTGAATTGAAAAAAGCTTATTGGATGGGAAGCAAAACGTCTTCAGACTTGAACACAAAATCACGTTGGTTGTTTTTAATTGTTTTTTTTTTTTTTTTTTTTGGAAAGTTTCTATATATTAATAAGTCATGGCAATGTTTAAAATAAGGTATTAAACGTCAAAGAAAATCTAAGTATGCAGGTTTGTTTTGAAAAGAGTAAGAGCTCACTTGAATGAGTATATTTATTGTCCAAAGAATTGCAGTAGAGTCAACATTAGGGTTTGGTAACAGTCGGTGTACATCAAGGAACTGCGTTTGAATAATTAATATAAGATTTCAGCATGCTGGATAATGAGTAGTTTTAATCACCAATTACAGCACAAACACATGAATATTTATATGATATCAATTGTGCAATTAACTTTCAGGGACTATTTTGTTTATGTTAAATTAGAATTTTCACCTGATTTCACCAGAATTTCACCTTTAATGTTTTAAACACCAGTTAATATGTCATGTGAGAATTCACAAAGTTAAATTGTAACCAATTTGTTAAATCCTTAAATGCAAATTTGACAGCCGCTTATTTTATTCAAGATTGAGGAAATTTGTAAAATTTAAGATATCTTCTAATTTCAATGTATTAGCTAAACCCCCAAAGAAGTCACTAAACCTCCAGAGCATCTCATTATCCAAAGGTACCAGTCAAGGTAAGATCACAAAGACTACCTTTCATCATGTTAACATGACAAATGTTTTTTTTTTTTTTCAGGTACAGTCAGGCAGCAATAGAAAGAGAAAAGATGATACTTTGTATTTGAGTTATTTCATTTTATTTTATCTTATCCTGTATTAACGTTGTTTAATCTTTCTATTATTTTTAGTAGACTCTTTTGAAAGTATTCCTTTGCACGTGCCAGGAATTTAATGTTTTTCATGTGTATGATGTCTGGATGGAGAAATGTATTTAATCCCCACATATTCCTCTGGAGTTAGAGTTTGATATATTGTAACTATTAACTCCTTTTTCCAATAAAGAGCAAAGAAGACAGCAAAGGTGCTCCAGGGAGCAGTAGGAGATAGTAACTGAGCACAGGGCCGCTGGAAGTCATTTTGAACAGGGGGTGCTGTGAATTTGTTTGGTTTGTTTTTTTTTTTTTAAAGACCTATGAGCCTATAGGCCTATTATGATGCAATGAATAAAAATAAATAAATAGAATGAGATTCACTACTTTGTCACATCCACTTCAGAGCATGCAACCAGGTGCTGTATGCGCTATTAATTAAACTTCACAATAAATAAAAAAATTCAGCGGCTTTATGCCAAGAGGTTGTATTTCTTAAAGTTGTAGGGAAGTCATATTTAAATTTCAAATTACACTGGCTTAAACATGTATATAAATGTACTCTTATCAGACCATATTTTCCCAAAAGTTAGAAAAGAAAAAAAATTCTATAAAAAAAAAAAATCCTGTCTTAAAATCTTTTTTCCATTGGCATATTTGCCCCTTAGGTAATTATTTTTGATCCCTTGCCCTGCACTTTAAACCTAACTAGAGAACCTTATAGTGAAAATGTTGTTCCTTATAATGATTTGTGAGGAAAGTCACAGGAAAGTAACGTTTAATCATTAAAATTAGTATCAGAAGGGTAGAAAATAAGGTATTTAGTATGGAGTATGAAATGAGGCCTTTTAAATGACCCAAGTATAGTAAGAAAAAAAAACCCAAAAAACTGACAGACTCCGTCTGGTCAACAGGAAAATAAAAACCCACACAGTTAACCTGAGTCTCAATAAGTTCCTGTGTCTGTTCTGCAGAAAGCAGGTGGGAAAATCTGAAAATATAGGAGCTGGGTGGGGAAGCCCCCTGCGGAACAGAGACTGATCAGAAGTTATTTTCATCAAGAAAAACACCTGTTGGATTAAAATCAAAGAAAAAGTCATTGTTGTATTTTTTTACTATTATAAAAAAAAGAAACTTACAGTTAAACAGGATTGTAAAAAGCAGTTAAAAATCTTCAACGTAAAAATATACAAATTATAAAGTTTTTTTTTTGTTTCTGTTTTTCTTTGACAGAAAATTAGAAAAATCTAATCTGTGTCTCTGGCGACCAATCGACAATTTTAACACAGAGGATTAGTTTCACTTGAAGAAAAAAAGAGGGTATAAAAGACAGTTTTTATTTTGTGTCCTGAGTGTTAAAACTAAAAGAAAAGGTCAGGGAAGAACGGATGGTGGATGGGGAAGTGGAACCCCTCTGGGATTTCCGCCATGGAGAGGACGTCGTCGGTCATGAGGAAGGCTGTAGGTCCGATGCGAGTCCACACACACCTCTCGCAGAGTGGGCCTCCTTCAGTCACAAATTCAGTCTGGAGAAAATGAGAAAAAGATTTATTTTTTTGTGTAATTTAGTTTTTTTTTTAGTCATTCCTTTAATTAAAAGAGTTGCCTTTCAAAAGAAAACATTTGAAGCCATCTTACACATTGCTTCTTCTGTCGGGACATGATGAAGGCCGAGCCGGGCGTGATGCAGTTTGGACATTCAGAGATGGAGCAGGGCAGAGGATTGTTGCCCGCCGTCAAAGAGCTGGGCATCTGGGACTTCAGGAAGTACTCCTTCAATGTAAAGGAGGAGAAGTTTAGTTTGTCTCCAGAATATATATTTGAAAAAAAAGGAATTACTTTTGCACTTTTAACAAAGTCCTCAACACTTCCCACTTTAAAGTCTCTGCCTTTTCATTCTGGCCAAGACCTCAGTGTGTCAGATGCAAGATGCAAAGAAGTTCCTCTAGCTGAAGTTGGCATTTCTAACAGCTCAACCTGACCTCAGATGCACACAAATATTTTAACCATTTTTAATCTTTTTTACAGGTTCATTTTGTATTAGTCTTTATCCTGCTTTACAAAGGTAGGCAGCAGCTTGACAAAACCATGATGGCAATTATTTTACATCCAAGTAATATGCAGTTCTTCATATATGCAAACACACATACATTTCAAACAGATGGTATCAGTATCGGCCGATACTGCACAGCCAGGTATCGGGCATTGGCACAACTCTAGTAGAAATCTGGTTGGTGTGTGTTTGCGTTAGCAGCCTGCAGTGAAACTAAGACAGGTGATGTGACTTAAAAATAAAATTAAAGATGTTTCCTAAGAAATTCTATTTCTCGAGTTTCACTCCTCCCCCCTTTAGTTTGTTAAAAACAAGTTTAATTTTAGAAATGTGCTTTTATTTTAATCATTTACATCCCCAAACACCAAATATTTATGTTAAAATGTATTTATAGCTAGCTCAGACTAGCCTCTAAGTCAATGTTTTCCAGGCCAAGGACCCCCAAACTGATGATAATATGGAGCAGGGACCCCCTAATTATATATATTGTATGTAATTGTGTTATTATCAAACTGGTCCTATAGTCACTCTATTACAGATGGAGTAATTTAACGGAAGTAATTTCTCCCTGGGATTATTAAAGTATTTCTGATTCTGATTCCTGGTTGATGGGACAGGTGTTGTGAATGAAACGGTGCCCAGCTTAAAAGAGCTCCTGTGTGTCGCTGAATGTGTGCATTGATGACTGAAAGACATCTGCCTACAGTTATTAGCTATTAGCTGTTGGGCCAAAAACAAAAATAATGTCTAATAAATCAACAGGGTGCCAAAGTTTAATAAGAAAGTTTTTCTATGGAACCACAGGAGCTTCTGAAGTATAAATTAGCAGAGTCATGAAAAATGAGTGAGTCCCTTTAAAGACGGTGTTTATTCTGGCTCTGTTTGCAGTGTGACTAAAACAAAACACAAAAGGCCACTTGGGTTTCATATTCACAGCTCTCTTCATCAGTGATTTCTTTAGAAATGTCAGTTACTGATTCTGAGAATATCTGCAGCTAAGGCTGACATTCAGATGCTTGCACTTTTACACACTAAAACATGTTTTTTATTTTTTTACAAATAAAAATCTGACAAGTTTAATGTGCGTTTAAATTCAGCAACTAACACTGAAGGAGCAAATATCCGTAAGTTTGGCCAGGCACATCACATCCCACCATGAAACAGTTTCCGCCTGATCGTGCATCGTATAGCGTACAGGGGGTAACGAGGGGTCATCGGACTCTTACGACCAGCTCCCGATCAGGAATCGTGAGGTCGAGAGAAAATCCAACATGTTTGAAATTCATTCGCCATCGTAGTGTGGTCGTGTGCAAATCAATCAGGGGGGAAAAAAAGAATTATTCTTCTTCCTCTCAGACAAAAACACAGAAGCATGCTCAGCCATGTCTTTGTCCAAATACGTCGTCGCCTTTTCTTTTTAGGGCTTTCAGCACAAAATTGCACAAATTACCAAGGCAGCATGTTTGACACCAGAGCTAAACTCAATTAAAAGTCTTTGCTTAAACTGCCAGATGCTTGACTGACTATTAAAACATTTCTGAGCTTCAGCTGTTTTAAAAAGAAAACCCCAAAAATCTGGATGCTCAAAGCTTCTAGAAACAAACTGTAAAGTCCTTCAGCTGGAGCTGCATCCTCATTTATTCTTACTTTCCAGTTAAGCACAGAGCTTAGTGTTGGTTTTCACATTCAATCTCACTAATATAACAGTAATGAATCATCATATATTAAGAAAAAAAGACCATGGAAACATGTAGATTTGCATCTCAGGAGGTGTGAAAATGTATCTGCTACCACTTCCGATCTAAAAATGAAAAGAAACCTCTCATAAGAAGTGTGTTTGTATATTTAAGCAGTTAAAAACAATTTGATTTGCCAATTGAAGGAGCATTTCTGCCCTTAAAATAAAGTAATTACATATCATTCACTTGAAATGCGATAATACATGTTTATTTTTCTTATTTTAAGTATAAATCATGTTATTGCATTGTTTTTTTGTATAACCTACCTGCTCAGTTTAAGGAAAAATTAGCTTATACAAGTAAAACTGAGAATTAAATTATGAGCCTTACTAATAAAACCACGCTGGAGTCTCAGACCTGCAGCTGAGTTTATCTGAACATCTTGAAAGGAAGAAACATCAGAAACTGTTATGTTGTTTTTCCGGTCCAGCAGAGGTGGGTAGTAACCAGTTATATTTAACCAGTTACTGCTCTTTCACTAACCTTTTCTCAATAATATACTTTCAGTGGTTTTAATGAATCGTATGTTTTTCTCCACCTGGGTAATACAATAAAATATAGCTACTCTAACCAGAGTAGAAAGTTTGGCTGCTCCATTCGTCGGGAGTAACTTCACTGAAAAACGAACCAGTTTATTTTTAAAACAAAAGGCTCCAGACATCCAGGCGTTTGTTACTTAAGTAGAAGTATAGATACTGCAGTTTAATAACACTCTGGTAAAAGTTGAAGTATCAACTTGACCTCTTTACTCAAGTAAAAGTGAAAAAGTGTGTGCTCCAAAAACTACTTAAAGTATAAAGGTATAAAGAAACCTTTAAAAAAAACCAGCCAGATGCCACTATATGAATTGAAAGCTCAATTTTTTGACTATTTTTAAAAATTCTTTGAGATAGGGCCAAGGATGAGGGAGGTCTTGTTGGTCTCCGTCTCCCGATACGCTCTCGCCTGTTTCCGACCTTTCAGACATTTCAACAACGGTCGTAAGGCACCGAGCTCCGCCCAGTAAACTGATCCAAGCTCGGTCTAATCTCAGCATGGATTGGTTTCAGAGGGGCACTGGAAACAATCAAAATCTAGAGAAGTCATTTTTTCTTCTATTTTGTTCTTGAATTGAAAAGGTAAAAGACATTTTGCCAATTTACATTTTAATATAAATATCTTATTTTAAGAGTAAAAATACTAATTCCATTGGCAAATCATCTCATTTACCTCCTCAAATTAAGGGTAAATACACTTAATTTAAGAATTTTTTTTATTTATTTCTTACTTACACTCCAGTTAAAGTAAATTGGGCTTATGTGTCCGTCATTAATCAGTTGTTACGCCCTTCACCTTTCTAAGAACGCCTCTTCTATTCAGGCTAGCTAACTGCTGTTGGCTAGCTCTGCTTTTGTGAGGATGTAGTTAGCCACCGCTGTCTGCCTCTATTGTTTTTTGGAGTTTTGAACGGCACTAGTGGCTCATTTTTTTCGACAGTAGGCTGACAGGAAAGGGGGTATGAGAGAGGGGGAGAGACATGTGGCAAAGGACCACAGGTCGGATTTGAACCCGGGTCGACCAGCATGAAGCCTGTTCCGTGTGTCTGGGTATCGTTCACGCACGGAGAGCGTTGGCGGAGCCCAAAGCATCCGCATTCTGTCACCAGCTTAGGCGCTCTACCCTGGAGAGACCAGTAAAGTTTTTGGAAATAGTGCTGAGAGAGTCTGCTGTCTCATGGTCAGACCCGCTGCTCTCTGAGTTGGGTTAGCTGACAACGAAGATCCTCGGTCACAGTTTTATCTGGACCCGCATCAGGATGATGAGGACATATTTGATATTGGCACTGACATCCAGGATCTGTCTGAGCAAAGCCACTGTAACGGCTAACAATGGATGACACTTCCTGCTTCTCTCTTACTAGCTACATATGAAGTGGCCCCTCTCCACCTCCTGCGAAGAAACAATCACATTTTGCAGGGTTTTATCTCCCAGCGAAGCCGGCCACGATTAAAAACCACCTACCCATTTTCCCAGACTTTGTGTCCGAACTGACATCTTCTTGGAACAATCCGCCATCGTCCTGCATCACAGTACCGGGCCTTGGACAATATCTGGATCCGAAGGTGCTGAAAAAGCTGCACCTGTGAACATTCCACCTATGGAGCCGTCCCTAGCGGCTTACTGCTAACAACCCTTCCATCCAAACTAGGGGTGGAACGGTTCACAAAATCCACGGTTCAGTTCGGTTCATGGTTTCGTGGTCACAGTTTTCGGTTTGGTTCGGCATATGTTGATTGTTACACTGAAATCCCATAAAAATGAATGAAATTAATGAAAAAATCCAAAAGAATTGATGAATTGTAATTATTTTTAATGATTCACGGAAACCCTGGATAATTTCTGGGTGTTTTGCTGCTTTGAATTTAATCATCTGGTGCATGCCCTCTACGATCTCCAAGAAACTCAGAGCGGAGCAGATGGGAGCCACAGAGGAGGCTGTAGGCTTTGCTTAATGCAGGCGGTCTGGAGCGCAGAGGGGCGGAGCGCTGACAGAGTATGTGGGATTTCGGGGTTAGCATGACATGTTGGTCATGTTGATGTTAGCATAAACAAAACATGTCGCACAATGCTCGCACACTGTTGCACTTTTATCCACAACTTTCTTTCCGCCGTCATCGTAGGTCACTCTAAATGCAAAGCGGTCCCATACAGCAGACCTATAAAGTGCTGCTGGCGCGTCTTCCAACTCCTGTTCTACTCGCCATACCCACACAATTCTCCACAACAACTGATTTTTTTCCCTGCTACATCCGGTGTAGCTGCTGAAGCTGAAGCTGCTGAAGAAGCTGCTTCGCTTCTTCTTCTTCTTGTTTTCTACTGGTGGTTGGCTTTGGTCGCAGTACCGCCACCTTCTGCTCTGGAGTGTAAACGCTTCGCCTATGAGAAAAAGGAGCAGCGCATGAACCGAACGAAACACACGCGAATCGAACCGAGACAGTCGAACTGAACGGTTCGGACGGTTTTCATAAACCGTTCCATCACTAATCCAAACCATGTTGATTTTTTGCTGCGCGGCTGGAAAAACTCTACAAAGCCCAGGTATCAATTTTACAGAAAGAACTCCATTTCACTCGCACCTCGCCATGTTTCTGTGTTTTCAACTGAGAGGAAGAAGAAGAAGAAGAATCCTTGCTTTCCCACTGAGCGATTTGCCCACGATGGTCGACTGAAAAATCTAACATATTTGGTTTTCTTCTGGCCTTACGAGAGGCTGATAGCCCCTCGTTACCCCCTGTACGCTACACAACGCACGATCAGGCTGAAAGTTGGCCCGAGCGAAAAATTCTCGTACGACATGAAAGTCGCCCTGAAAAGGGCAAAAAGATCGTATAGTGTATGCCTGGCTTTAAGGTGGAGCTACTGCTAGTGCTACTGCCAGGTCTTTAATTTCTTTATGTTTATTGTCATAATTTAAAAACGTTACAAACAGGCATAAAATCCATAAAGAATTGATGAAATATCAACAACCTGCAGCCGGCCTAGGCACCATCAGTTTATAAACACTCATCTTAACAGGAGGAAGTAAGGATGCAAGCAAAGCAAATGATGCGTTGACAGGCGGCAAGCTGTGAAGTGTTGTGCGATTATGCCTCACCCCAGCCACCGTTAGGATGCGAAGGATGTTTTTGGTAATAACCAGGGAAGTCATGGCGCGAGTCACCGCCACATACAGCAGGTTCCACTCATCGCTGAGAATATGAGCTTCAGCGGTAAGGGACAGAAAACAATCCGTCAGACAAGTTGTTGTAAAATATTTTGGTTTTTTTTTTTTTTTAGAAAAGGAAAAATAAACGTACAAAACAGGAAGTCTGGTAGGCGGTGTAGGTTGTGACGGGAGGCGGGGAGGGTGGCGAAGTCGTCGCTGATGATCACTGTGTCAAACTCCAGACCTTTGGCCTTGTGGACAGTTCCAACGATGAAGTCTGGTTGAATAAAAAATAAAAGAGGGAAAACATTTTTATAAACATCTAAAACGTGACTAACAAACATTTTCATTGATCTTTTTTGAATAGAAGAGTCCTTTTTTGTCCCTCTTTGGGGAAATTCAGGTGTGCGAGCCGTTTAGAGACAATGATTAGAGACGATCCTGCCTGGCTGTGTGTTTCCTGGACGGGGCCGCCTTTTACAGCTGCTTTTTGAACCCCAGTCAGCCTAGGCAGATGGCCGCTCACACTGAGCCTGGTTCTGCTGGAGGTTTCTTCCTGTTAAAGGGAGTTTTTCCTCTCCACTGTCGCTACAAGCATGCTTAGTGTGAGGGATTGTATTTGAGTCAATCAACTGGTTTTCCTTCGATAGAAAACTTTGAATCGATTTGACTGTATGATCTGGTGAACTGTAAAGTGCCTTGAGATGACATGTGTTGTGAATTGAAGCTATATAAATAAACTGAATTGGATTGAATTGATTTAGCCTCGAATTGAGACAGAGAATAAAATACTTTTACTCTAAATAAAAAAAAAAAACAACAGAGTACAGTGAGGGGAAAAAAAAGCCTCCCTTAGGGCTTCCCGAAAACCTTTTTTCCACATCATCCTCTGACATTATCTTTCTTAGTGTATGAGTCATCCAGACCGGAGCCTCTGTGCTTCTCGATGCTTACCTGCACCCTTTAGGTCGCTCTCATAGCACGCCTTTAGCCGGGCCACCAGCGCAGGGACGCGGTCCCTGTATTGCTCCACAATGGTCAGTTTCCCGTCCAGCTCCTTGTCCTCGGTTTGTGTGACGTAGTCCTTAAAGGCCAAGTAGGGTTCTTTTTTCTTACTGGAGGTAAAGGACCTGATGAGGGGGTCCTTGATGGCTGAGAGGGCGAAGCACATCGAACACAGACGTTTAACGTCTTCAGTTCTTTTATCACGAACTGATGAGGAAAATGAACTTTAGATCTTGCCTTTTTTTTTGGCTTCCTGTCCTGCCTCCTTCATCAGGTGGTAGATGTCCATTATTTTCTCCAGCCCGATGTTTTTGACACCCTGCAATAGAAAAAAGGAAAAACATCACCTATATAGGACAGGAGAAACATAACCCCCACCTCCAAATATTGGGTTCTTGCACATAAACACGTACTCCAATGAAGTGGATCCGGCACTGCTGGTTGGCATCCGATAGTTGGACCGCCCCTTTAAAGACGCCCAGATTACACCTCGCCAAGATGGCGATCTTCCCTCGGCTGCAGCTCACCCCGTTCTTCATGGCCTCCAAGGCTTTATCTGCCGTCTCATCGCACACGCCACCTGTAGGACGACCAGGAAACATCGGATCACAAGACACATGGAAAGACCCAGACATCTTTCAAATATAATCTTAGTTGAAACAATTTGTGGAAACTCCTGCAGGACTTTCATATGTAGAAGATTAAACAGCTTAAAAACGAAGATGTTCCAGTTCAGTCCTGAAAGGTAAAGAATTAGCTCATGAAAACTGAAAAGTTAAATCTGTTTAATAGATGGAAAACACACCAAAACCTGATCCACTTACAGACACTCCTAAAATCACTGGGATTTATTCCACTTTTAGTAAAATTATGCATAAAAATAAAGTCCCATCATTTGACATGTCCTGTTATATGCTAGTAGCTCACTTTGGCTGCATATATTTTTCTTACAGATGTCTATATCCTGCTGGTGAATTATTTGTTATTTTGCCTTTTGATCAGTTTGTAAGTACAAAAAGCCCTTTGTGTTTATTTACAGGTGCGCAGGTGGTTAACAAGAAAGTAGCCTACCGTGGCTAAGCCAGTTAGCACCTCCTACCCAAGAGTGAAAATAATGAAGGAAAGTCCGAGATCAGTCTGAATATTGATTCTATCTGAAGAGGAAGCTGAAGCTGCCGAGGTGTTAAGATGTGGCTGCTAAGTTGATGGATGCTATTCTTAGTCTCCTTTTTTTAACTTTTTAAAGTCGTAGGTCATATTTAAATGTCAAATCATTCTGGCTTCAACATAAATATAATAATATATCTACTCTTTATCAGACTATATTGTCCTAAAAGTTAAAAAATTTCTATATATAAAAAAAAAATCCTGTCTTAAAATCTGTGGTTTTCTTCGTTATCTTATGCAGGCCAGTTAGTTATAGGTCAGCCTGAACAGGGGATTGACGTCTGTGTCTTCAGCAGGCGTAGAGCTAACAGAACTGGCAGCGTTGCGAGGCAAGGGCTCAAACATGTACGGCTGGAAGCCTTCTACACCAAACCAAGCTTCTGCCGCCCTGGCGTCCTCTTCCACAACATCTTCGTCCCCGCTTTCCTCCTCTAAATAAAAAATGGATGATGGAGGAGACTCATCCACGACCTCCGACACAAAACTCTCCTCCTTGCATGTTTCCTCTGTCCATAGCGTTCCTTGACAGTGTTGTTTCTAAGTCACCAATTTAGTGCTACTTGGTCCCAATGGAATTTCCCATTGGGAACCTACTAGCACTAAGTTGCTAATTGGTTAGCAAGATGCTTCCAAAAAACCGGCCACAACCAAACCTTCCACCACAACAATCGCGCCTCCTTGATAATCAACCAATCACATTCACTTTATTCACTCGTGTAAAGTCGGGCACCACTCGGGAGAATTTGGAAATGTAATCCCTGCTTCCCTGCGACTTTAAACTAGTAATGTCTTAATTTTTTTTTTTCAAATCATTCTGTTAAGTGTGGCTGAAAGAAATGTCTGAGAATGTCTTTATAGAATCTTTAATCCTTATTACTTTATCAGTTTTGTTTATTGCTCTGACCGTTGTTGTGTTTTTCTTTCATTAAACAAGGGGGACCAACTATTCTGTCCAGTGACTAGTTGCTGTAGATCAGCTTATTCATATCAGTTGGTCTCCGATTATGTTAAGCTGTCTTTTTATATTGAGGACTTTGCAGGACGATGAGGCTCTATAAAAAAGAAACCATCTGGCTTTTTCATAGTTCTCCCAGCAGATGGCGCCACATTATATAGAGGCTCAGCACCTGTGCTGTGATTCTAAACACTATCAGGGTGGATATTTATCAAGACCATATTCTTTCAAACTGTCCAAGAGCTTGGATCAAAAAATTTAATCTAGGCCTAAAACATCATCTTAGCTCTAAGCATCGACATTAAAGACAACCTTCTGCTGCTCTTACTTTTCTGCATTCCTCCCACCAGGATCTTCTGGACCCCTTTGCAAACTTTGAGGATGGCTGCACCCACAAAGGCGATCTCCGACCCGAACCGAAAGCTCTGGATAAAGAAAGCAGAATATTAATTGATGTTTGCAGTTAGAGATACGAAGCATTAAAGAGGAGGATCTTTTTAAAAACGTGGCACACTTTCTACCCCATAAATTCTTTCCAGACTTTTGCTTCAGATGAACAAGCCTGTCTAAGAAGTTTTTTACTCCAAATTTCTTTATTTTTAACAAACTATTTATTTTTGCAATTATTTATTGAACACAACCATAATCAAATAAATAGATATCAACTGCTTAGTGTATTTAAATTGTACCTGATTTGAAATGGTTCAAAGAACATTTTTTAAACCCAGCAGTTTTTAAAACTCCTCTACAATCCCTGTGGCTCTGTGGAAACAAAACTCAAACTTCCTTCAAAACGCCATCACAGCAGATATAATGTACAAAGACAATATATAACAACATCCTTCAACACTTATATGATTGCATTTTTCCATTATTTGATGCATCCATTCTCCAACACCTGAATCAGATCAGGTGTTGGATTCAGGTGTGTTGGAGAAGAGATAGATCTGAAAGTTGAGGGTATTTGTTCTCTTTTAGGAGGTGAACCTTCATCCAGCTCTGATATTTTCTGGAGTCTCTAAAACGTTTGCTTACTTCCACTACCTTTTCTGCTCCAGCTGAATCAAAAAACTCCCCACATCATAATGATGCATCGATACGTACGCTAGAGTATCGATGCATGTTTTTTTTCCCCTCCGGTCTATTTTTATCCATTTACTCCTTGACGTAATTCTCCCTCCCGTGCTGCGGTGGCGCTAAACCTATTTTGCCCTCCTACCTCGCTTCCTGGTTATACTGTTATAGCAGTGAGCTTGACACAGACATTTTTTATTTAAGCTCAATATTGAAGCGTGGTCTGTGCTACATGCTGTGGGTCTAGATACAGCCGAGGGGGAGGGACATGAGGGCCAAAAAGCACGGAGATCCAGGTGGAAAAAGGATCCCAGCGTTCTCGCGAACCTCGATCTTCTAGCGGGTCAAACTTCATGAGTTGTTTTCCGCAACTTTGGTCATAAAAACAAAACAAGCCGGCCTCCTGTCTGCGGCGCTGTTTGCGGTCAGCTGCAATTTGGGAGAGGTGCAGCGGAGCGTCTGTGGGGGGGCGGGGACGTCTGGAGCTGAGGTATTGCATTGCACTCATTGCACTGATTATGTGCAGTATTGTTTTGATGCAAAGCCTTTCAGAATCTATAACGCAGAGATATTATTATTTTTCAGTGAATGAGGTTTTAATAGGAATAGGTGGAGTGCAACTTTTCTACTTCTGTTATTTGCTGTTGTTTCTCAAAATAAATGCATAACGATATTACAGTTTTCAGTGAGTTATTTCAAATTTGAAACATTGTCTAGCCTGTAAGGTGTGTGTAAAAAAACCAAACAATCGAATCGTATCGTGGTGTTTTTTTGAGTATCGAAAATAATCAAATCGTTGGGTCAGGAAATGAATACTGAATCGAATCGCCATGATGAATGTGATTTACACCCCTAGCTGCCACCACCTTGTCTGTCAGTTTTGTCTCATAAAATGTGTGCTTCTTCATCCACATATTTATTGAAACCCATAGTTTCTTCATGTGAAAAATAACAACTGTGTGAATCTCACTGTGAAACTGTATCAAGGGGAAGCTGAATATATTATGAGAGCTGCAGGACGGTTTGCTGGTACCTGAGTGAGGTAATAGATGTGTGAGTGGCTAGCTGAGCCGAGGGAGTTGACCGCCCCTTTGAAGGTGTAGATCTGCTGGTGGGGGTCTCCAACCAGGATCTTCCCACAGCGCTGGGAAAGCAGGACGTCCATGATGGCTGAGAGAAAGAACAAAGCTCTTAAGAACCATACTTCAGTATGAAGCTGCCAAAAGCTCACACGCAAAATAAAAACTGTTGCAAGCAGGTTTATTTAAAACACATTCACGTAAACTAGTCTCCACATGTATGTTGAATGTTTTATACATGCAGATTAAACACCATGAGGCTCCCGGTATCTCATAATTCAGTGTTTCCCATTAATGAACGAGACTAGACAGAGAGAGAGAGGGAGAGAGAGAGATGGTCAGTGGCGGTTCTACTCCCCGGGTGAGACCCACTCCAAGCGCCAGTTCTATTTTTTTCAAAGTGCGCATCCCGCCCTCCTTTATAAAAATGCCGCAGGGTTCACCCGTGCAGTGTTGCCAACTCAGCGACTTTTTTTGACTTTTCAGACCCCTCCAGCGACTATAAAAAAAAAAAAAAAACAACTAGAGACAAATCTAGTGACTTTTCTGGTGTCACTTTTGGAGACTCTTGTATGAAAGCACGTATCGTTCCTACTCTTGTCCTCCAGGGCCAGGTGCTGCCATGAGGCGCCTCCCCCGTCCCAACCCTGTTCTCCCGCTTCTGCAGGAGAACCTCTCAGCGCATGTTATTTGGTCTAAAATAAATAACTGAATTTGAAATGTTTTATGTTAAATAACAGCATTTGATTCACACAGCAACAGTCACTTAATCAACTTCTCCATTGTGTTTTCCTCTCTAAGAGAATGATTTGAAGGCTCAGTGGACAAGGGAAAAAAAAGTAAAAAAAAAAAAAAAGTGGCCTCAAAAATGCACTTAAAGGGGAATTCCGTTTTTTTTTTTTTTATTTATTTACATTGGGCCCTTGATTTTACATTATTACATCATGTTCTACTCACCCATATTAGTTTTGTGTCATTTGGAGCTGTTCTGAAGATATTCAGTTTGGTTATATCCAAGTAACGTCTTCCTTTGGGCAACGAGTTGAAGACACAAACTAAACTGTTCATAATTTATTCTTTATGGTACGCCAGCATTCATAACATGTAGGCGAATCACTGTCCCTCAGACATCCGCAGTTACATTTTTTATATTTATATTTTTTTTTAAACAAAGCGGAGTGTGTATGACGTCATCCTCACATGCAGACTGGAGTTGTGACAGGCAGCCCGGGCCACAGGCGGCTACGCTCTACCCCTTCTATTCATTCTAGCTAATCTGAATCATTCAATTCCATTTAGAGAACGAGATCATCTGTGGTAGCAGCACTAGACATCTTCCAGGCATGTAAGTAAAACTAGCAGCAGTTCAGCGGACAGGAAGAAGGAATGGTAGCCGGCGAGCGTGGATGACATCATACACGCACCGCTTTCTTTAAAAAAAATATAAAAAATATAACCGCGGATGTCTGGGGGACAGTAATTCGCCTACATGTTATGAATGCTAACATGCTATCAAATATGAACAGTTTAGTTTGTGCGGTTAAGTCGTTGCACATAGGAAGACGTTACTTGGATAAAACCTAACGGTTGCACAATGTCAACTTTGTTAACCTATATGGCTCTGGTTCACCCTCAAAAGCCTCTTTCCCATTGAAATTAGCAGGTTAACATCCTTAACATCCAGCTAAGATCCACTAACAATCAGCATTTGGTGCTCTTCACATTGGCAAAAAAAAAAACTGCTGCCTGTCTGTTGATGATGTGAACAGTGAAAAATGAAATCAGGAAAGGAGACAATGTAGAGCAGCATGGAAGGTCAACGTTTGAAAGTGATTTTAACCTGGGTTGACACACGTCAACAGCTGCTGGTTCCCGGGTTTAAACAGGCTTTTTGGCCAGTGGGAAAGGGGTAAAAGTGACCAAGACTGACATGGTGGAGCCAAATAGCCAGAAGAGAATCTACAGGCGCATAAAAAGCAGGAAATTGCATAGAAGGAGCATGGAGTCAGGATTGATTTATAAGAGGCCTTAGGGTGCTGATTCAGTCTGCATAGAACATTAGAAATGTGCCTGGAGAGTATTTTAATGTCTTGTCACATCAGAAGGAACCTAAAGTACCTGGTGTGCAGTCCTGAGCCTCATCGATGAAAATGACATCGTATCGGTCAGACAGGCAGGGCTTTGGGTTTCTGAGCTGCCATAACTTCAGGTAACCTGGGAAGGAAAGAATACAGCTTCAATCTGAAACCATTTGTTTTTGCCTTAAGATGCTTTTGTCGTTATAAGTCATAGTTGCTGCACCATCATGAGGCATGTAGTAGGCCTGTTTTGATTTCTCCTTAAGGTCCTTCATTTTGTTCCAGATCGCCTTTGCCTCTTCAATAAAAAACTAGAAAGAAAGAAAATAACACACATGACATTGATGCAAACATTAACAGGTTTTACTGAACGAGTTAGTTGAAGGATCCTCACCCTTTGCTCATCAGGCCCTATGACCTGCCTGTAGCCCTTGTTGACGGCATAGTCATAGGGGACGTGCTGTGGGCCGATGGCCGGGTGTGCCGAGGCCATGAAGGAATTCAGAATCGTAGCCACCACTTTAGCTCTGCTGAAGCCTGCGGCCCCAGGAGTCAGAGCAAAATTGATGGAGAACGCATTCACGTTGAAGGTGAGCTTTTTGTTAAGCGCATACCTGCGACACAGAACGAGACACACAGCTGAGTCCAAACGAAGCTGATCATGTCGAGTCCCTAAATTTACAGCAACAGCAAGCAACAGTGAGTTTAACTCATGGGGGTTTCCTGAAAGAGGTTTACCAGTTCAGCTGATTAATGCTGAATTAAACACTTTAAAAATATTAGGAAACAATCAAAACGATGCAGAAAAACAAGAAGTGGAACAATTTTTTTTTCATCAATAATGTTTAGCATTTAGTTTTATTTCATTACAAACAGGCAACAGAAACTACTGATTGTTATTGAGAAACAGACTGAGATGAGTAAAAATAAAGCAGGAGTGGGGAGAGCCTTTGCTGCTGAAAAGACAAAAAAAAAAAGAAGTCAAAACTGCAAATATCGAATCATTTGATGACATTACTTGTTAAATAATGGCCAAAGGTATAGTGGAGGATTTTCTTTTTCCGGGTGGATCATCAAAATAAGTGGTCCCCTTAATTTTCATTCATTCTGGTGATATGTTTAGGTAAGGCCGTCCTACGCGCTCCCATCGTCCCCATTCCACATTGACATAGTGGAAAAGTAAGCTTGTGTGAGCGATGCAAACATCAACTTTTAAACAGAGCATGCACGAGGAGAAATGGGCTGGTGCATGCTCTAACACGTGTTTAAAGGAATAGTACACCCAAAACATGATTAGCCTTCATTTTCTACTTACCCCCATGCTGAACAACACTCTGGAGTACTTTTTTGATATCTCAAATGCATCTGGAGGTCTGGGAGGCTTCTTGCTGTCTGCTGACATTCAAATAATGGAGGTCTATGGTGCCCGAGACAGAAAGGTCCATAAAAGTCCACAAAAAACGTGTCAATATTCCTCCATACTGGTCGTCCAATGTATTCCAAGTGTCCTGAGTGGGTAGCATCAAGAATTTACTCGAAACGAAGTCATTTAGAATGTTTTTAGAGCATAAACAGTAGTGTATAGGATTTCCTGAAAGCGCGCGCCGGCGCGTTCACGACGCTACGGAAACCGCGGCAGACCAAACCAGATGAAAGTGCGCATTCGGCGTCTGCTCTGCCAATAATGCAAGCGTAGAAGAAGAAATGTGCTGTTTACCTGTGCAAAGAAAGAAACAACGAAAGAAAAATGTCTGAGGACTTCAGTGTTGAGGAAGAGCATGAGTTCTTTGCCGAGCTGAATGCGCACTTTCATCTGGTTTGGTCTGCCGCGGTTTCCGTAGGCTCGTGAACGCGCTTTTAGGAAATCCTATAAACTACTGTTTATGCTCTAAAAACATTCTAAATGACTTCGTTTCGAGTAAATTCTGGATGCTACCCACTCAGGACACTTGGAATACATTGGACAAGCAGTATGGAGGAATATTGACACGTTTTTTGTGGACTTTTATGGACCTGTCTGTCTCGGGCACCATAGACCTCCATTATTTGAATGTCAGCAGACAGCAAGAAGCCTCCCAGATCTCGAGATGCATTTGATATACCAAAAAAGTACTCCAGAGTGTTGTTCAGCATGGGGGTGAGTAGAAAATGAAGGCTAATCATGTTTTGGGTGTACTATTCCTTTAATAGGCCTCTTGGGAGCGGGTACAGGGTTGTCCATGTGCATTTTTTTTAAAAGTGGAGAGGGCAGGTCTTTTCAAAAACTCGTCAAAATCCTCCATTATAGCCTTAAGTAAATTTGTTTTTGAGCAAGAAGAAAAAACCTGCAGATTTGATTAGGCACTAAAGGCCTTTATTGTTTTTAAAGTGAGCAGACAGGAAATGGGACGGATAGAAGTGGGAACCAGTGACTTAGGCCTCCCTACATGATAGGCTGAGCCCCTGCCCCACCGCCATGTCCCGTTTTATAGGTTTTATAGAAAAGTTTTAACACCTCTGGTCCAAATCCTTATAAAGCCTGAATTTCACGTTCCTCACCTCCTCCCGACATCATTGTAGGCTAAGGAATGGGCCGTCTTGCAGTCCACGTTGGGAGGGAAGCGGCGTCGCGCCTCAGAGGCCACAGAGTGGTTAAAAGCTACATAGAGAAAGCGAAGGTGCGGGCGCTGCTCGGCGTATTTCACCAACGTGGTCGTCTTTCCCGTACCTGTGACATATTTAAAAATACTGCTTCAATAAACAAAACGGTAATAGCATGAAGCAAGATAACAGTCAATAAAAATGTTCACCATTGTGCTGAATTTGTAAATGTGTCCATAAATGTGAAATAATATAAGATTTGTATTTGTCCCTTGCTGTTAACTCCTACCTACATGTAACATCAGAGTTTCACCTGTGAAAAGTTCTGAACAAAAGTTAAGCAGAAGGCAGAAGAAGGACAAATCATGAATTCAGGGGCTGTAGAAGTGTACTTATAAATCTGTAATTGACGATTTATACTCGTAAGTTTGTGATTTAAACTACAGTTGCACTGATCTGAATCGAATCAGATCCAGCATTCCGATCCAGTCATTTCTAGTTTCATTGATATCATACAGAGCTATACAGCGATATAAGTACTACAATTCTTTGATTGCAGAGCTAATGGTTTAATCTTAAGAGAAGCTAGTGAGGTTTTATATCTGTTTCCATGTCTTACTTTAGTTTTTTGCACCAATGTTTATGTCACATGGCGAGTTAATGTGGTTAATTCATTTGACATTAGTATTAGCTCGGTATCCCCCAATACACTCAGCCAATGTATTGCTGTCCGATTGGGTTAAAAAAAAACAAAAAACAAACAAACATGCATTTCGGTTCAGAAGTTCCCACGCTGTTTGCCATATGTGGCGTCAAGCACCTCCATGTTCAATGGGTCCAGCTGGGAGCAACACTTTTAATTCTTTTCTACGTCTCTGCATGGCAGGAAAGATGGCCGTCTCTAGGTGATGTCATAAAATGATTACAACCTCTGACAGCAATGCATTCCCAAAAATCCTCTCCCTGTTTCTAATCGGAAGCATGGTTCATGCTAGCTGAATATATCTACTTCCTGTTTATTCTGTCAAAATTATTATTTTCCTAAAACCTGGTTGATTCTCTCCAGACCAGGAGACAGAAACAAACCTGTTCAGTATTTGTTTTTTAGAAACAGTTTGAAAGTTCAATTAATATTTCATCGCAATTAGATGCAAAGTTAACTGATTTATTGGGAGGTGCAGCCAAATAGCCCCATCTGAGACTGCTGCCTCAGATGAAGCTGTTGGAGGAACTAAATGGCTTTTCTATCCCACCTCCATAAATGATCAAGAATTACAGGTGCAGAACGATCACACTGCAAGCCGCACTCAAGTCAGAGTCCTGCACAGCTCTGATTTTTCAAAACTGACCCCATCCATAGAGTTCAGACCCAAGACCTGACGCAATACCTGCAATTATCCTCAATTAAATCCTGTCCCAGTATAATGAACTACAACCCTTGGAGGGGTCTCTATACTAACGTATAGAGAATTTGCTTGGAAGACTGCTACACCCTTCTGGCTCAGAGGGGCTAAAATGCAGATAGAACGTGCTGGAGGTTATGTGGGTCGAATCAAGCTGGCCATTTTCATATCTTATAGAGCTGTCCAAAACCACTTTCTTACAGGGAAAAAATTAAACAAAATGTGGAGACAGTAATTGGGGATAATTTTGCCTCGAACTTTGAGATCATGGTCTTGGGGAAACGTCCAAACTGTGTAAAAGGATTCTATAAAACATATATGTTCAACATAATGCTAATCGCCAGCAAGAAAGCAATCACTCGGAAATGGATGGCTCCCACAGTTGAAGACTGGATAAGCATCATTCAAGACATTTACAAGATGGAGGAACATTTGCACTGAAACTGGAACAAGACAAATTTGAAAAATGTTGGACTCCATGGCGGACTTTCTTGGACACCAGACTTGTACATAATGGCAGTGATGTGAAACCCGTAGTTCCTTAGCTACTCGGTTCGTTTTAGAACATTTGTTTTACGGTTTGTAAAAGTTACTCAGTGGTAACACTGCTTTGTTCATTCTTTTTCCTCCCCACTCCTCTCAGAGGAATCGGGGTGGAGAGGTAGGAAAGACAAAAAAAAAAAAAAAAACGGAACACTAAATACCGGATAATCACATGAGGTGGTATGTTGTATGGATCAATATAACAAACGGAATGGAGGATTTTACAAGACTATACTGCCTTTTGTGAACAGATGAACTGCACATTCTATATGTTCTTCTTAATAAAAATTTGAATATAAAAAAATTCTTCCCAGATCCCACGGACCCGTGAATAATAAACTGTCACCCAACCCATGATCATAAATTGTACACAGCCGTTTTCAGCTGTTATTAGCTTTTATCAGTCCCATAGAATGGCTTCAAATTTGTGCCTCCTACCTACCAGTAGGCTCAGTAGGTTATTATCACTGAATGAATCCTAACACTAACCCTAACGTAATTCATTTTTTCCCAAAGAAATAATTAATGTGTTTGTGTTTAATGTAAACATGATTTTAGTAGTTCTTCCTCTATTGTGAAAAAAAAAGAATGTTGATCGGCATGTACCTCATATAAAGCGTATCATATCAAGCCCATAAAATCTCATATCCCTGTAAGTTGAGTTGTTTTTAAACCACATTAAATCTGTGTTACTAACACATGTGGAATTCACTTGAAGCAAAGCTTTATTAAACAAGGAATGCTGTAAATAAAGTAGATAAAAAGTATGTAAACGTAAAGTGAAACTTAAGGTTTTAGACGTGGCCAGAGCAGCTATTATCCACAGTGAGCTGCATATTATCAGCCATAAGAACCTACTAGAAGGTAGAGGAGGTGCAGCCTGGAGCCATTCTATGGGACTGATATTCGCTAATAACGGACATTTAATGATTGATCATATCTGAAACCGGGCCATCTGGAACCGTTTATAATAACAGAGGCAGTAAAGAACATATCCTCACGTTCACATCCAGTGCACGCTGTGCTCACAGATTAACAGCTGTAAATTGGCTGAAGTATGAAGTTTTTTTTTGACACCCCCACATTTCATATACACTCGTGCCCAAATCCCCTCTAGAAACAAAAAAGGCCCTAAAAGGGACCATCTAATAGAGTTTTGAGAGTTTTATTAGTGATTTTAACTATTAAAATTGCTCTGGTTCTGCAGCAGACTGTCTGATCTGAGGAGGATCTACCTGTACAAAGGAATCAAACATATCCTTTTCTGTTGAACCGGTTATGGAGATTATCTTTAAACTAAACAATTAAAATTATTCACCTTTCCCCGCTATCCCAAAATAACAGAATCAATCACACTACCAGTATTTCCAAATTCAGACTCTAGTGCAGAAGTCTAACTGGAATGAAGTTCATTAGACGTTGAATTAAGGTGGAAACAACATCTGGCTACGATTTCTAACAGTTATTCTGAGGTGATGGTTAGAGCGGATCACAAAAAGCCCTGAAACTGGCAGCTCAAAAATGTTTTACATTTCTGTGGTAATGTTTTGATCGAAGATTTTATTTTACTTTTAATTCTAACTTTCGAGGTTTTTGAAACCAGTCAACCGATCTTCAAGTTAATAAAATAAACATAAAACAGAAACTTAAATGCATAACAATTTTAACACAGTGAAGATGAACTGATTACCTTTACAGCTGACATTGAGGATATATAAAAAATCATTAGATAGTAGAGTGGTACCTAGATTGTAGGAAACAGAAAGGGCGCCCCCTGGTGGTTTAATTTATTAGCAGCTCTTAGATTATGTTTCAGATTAGATTAATTAATTTCTCTGTAATAAACTGAACCTTTACAGTTATTAGAATCGTTTTGTCATCAATTATTTCCCCTCATAGACATGGAATTCAAGCATAAATAAATACATGAAACAAAAGCTCAAACTAATTCTGAAATCCACTGTTCCACAATGGAGCTGTATGATGACCTTTGTTAGGATAATTATCTTTGTTTATTACACCTTAAAATTAGCTGCCTGTTGCATGTCAGAACTGATGTTTTCCACAATAGTTTATCTAATTAAGACAGTTCCTCTGTCCGGATATACAGCTATAATCTTTATACTGTACGTTGATGTTTGGAAATGGAATGAGAGTGGTGTTCTTCAGCTAAGAACGTGTAAAGAAAGTGTAATATTTTGATAAGGCTGGAGCCATGGATGTTTCCTCATCTGCTAACATATATGATGTAATGATGTGGCAGACTGGGGATGTATAAAGTGCCTTTTTAACTGTTAATTGTGGCCACTTCCTGACAGGTGAGCCCAGAGGTGAGCAGCTGCCTTCTGTAAACTCTAAGCAATTTCTCTGATCTGAGTAAGATTATAATTTATATCAAAATCTGTTGTCATGTCTCCTGGTTAATTAATTCAGATAAGTTATGAAGTGTTATTTAAAGAGTTTGTCCCGAGTGATCTCTTTTCAGGGAAAAGAACCGGTAAGAATAAGCATTCAGTTAAGACTAAACAGTAAAAAGAATTAAAACCAACACCAAAAAACCGTACCTGCGAACGCCACTATCTTGACCACATGATGGCTCTGGATGTCATGGCTGAGGATCTCCTGCTGCTCTCGTGTGAGCTGAATCTGAGGGATTCTATCAAAAACACAGTCATTCAATTCAGAACGCCGTTAGACCCGATAGCTTTCCACAACTGGTAATCAGAATCAGAAATACTTTAATAATCCCAGAGGGAAATTACTTTTGTTACACGCTCCAGTTACAGTTTTATATATATATTAGGGGTGGAACGATTCACAAAATCCATGGTTCGGTTCGTGGTCACGGTTTTAGTAATCAGTTAATTGTTAAATGGAGTATAGAGACTCTATAACAGACCTTTAGCTAACAGCAAAAGGCCTATTTTAGAGTAATAAAAACATGTGTAAACATTTTGCATTTACGATTTAAAAAAAATTCCACTATTAATATTCTGCATCCGGAACTACTCAAGTGGAAAAGTTTTAGTTTCCCCCTTTTTTTTTGTAAAAAAAAAAAAAAACGTCTTTAAGGAAGCTTTTGCTGTCCAATTATTAATTGATTAATCGAAAAAAATATCTACATGATACATTTTTTTTGCAAAATAATCATTAGTCGCAGCCCTAAATAAAAGCTTATGTTTTCTAAACTGCAGATGTCAGATGCAGTGTGACATTTAACTAGCCCACCATCTCTTTCCCTTTTTTTTGCTGTGATCTCATATTGGAAGCAGCCATTAATTTCTCTTCTTATTATGCAAAATGCATATTAGACTGACCCAGTGACCTGCAGCTGGGTTGGAATCTACCCACCAGAACAGCAACATTTCTCCTGCGTTTGTTTGGACAAAATTTTTGAACAATATTCTGGCTATTAGTTTTTCCGTAAAATTTCAAAACATATCCACTGGACTTGAGTTTGGGTCTTTATATAGACAAGGCTTTGTCTATATAAAGACTCAAACTCACTGCGGATCCAGACATTTGGATTGAGAAAGCTTCCTGGAAAGGTGGCAAAACGTCTTCAAATCTTGGAAACCAAGTCCAGAGGATATTTTTTGAATTTTTACGGAATGACTATGACCTGGATGACTGAGAATCTTCATCAGCATATTCTGGCTATTAGGTTTAGCTAGACAGAGCTGCTGTATGGGAATCCTCCCTACAGCCACTCCACCTCATTAATGTGCAAATAAGGAGAGAAATGTGTTGAAAAACAGCCCGTATGCTCGTGAAGTTGGACCAGCTAGAAAAGCGAGGTGCGTGAGAACGCTGGGACTCTTTTTCCACCTGGATCCCTGCTCTTTTTGGCCCTCATGTCCCTCTGATGTCGCACAAAGTTGCCCCTTGCATTTTTCCACTTTTTTTCTCCACAGCTAGTTCCTGATTGTCTCTCTTGCATTGTGGTGTGGAACAACAAAGCGCAGACCACGCTTCAATAATGGGCTTAAATCTAAAATATCTGCATAAAGCTAACTGCGACACACCACTGCTGGAGGATAACCACACCTATAGATGTGGGGGACTTGTTATTCTGTGGGCCTGGAGGGTTTCTACAATTTAACAGTGTTTGGCTGGAAATAGATTTTTTTCAAGATAAAACTTCTAGAGCAACCAAAGATGGATTATTTATGGACTCACCCGCTCTGGCCAGAACTGACGGAAAAGGGACCGTTTTCCATCAAATGAAGCACGTAGTAGATGTTGTAATGCAACCTGAGAAGGAAAAAGGAAAAAGAAAGCAGGTCATGGATGGGTTGACCAGAAGTGCCTCTTAAAGATCAACCAATCCGTTCACAGGTCTCACCTGAAGTTAATCTTGATTTTGTTCCTTTCCATCGCGAGCAGCATGGTGGCCATGTGGCTGAGGTACTCTGTGATGGCCGTCCGTGACATGCAGTGTGAGAGCAGAGAGACCAGGGCCTGCACGTCACCCACGCTCTCACTCAGGACCAATATGACGGCCATGGCGGCGTACGGGTTCAGACCCTGCAGATCAGGGTTCAGATCAGGATCGTTCTCACAGCAGAAAAGACCTGATCTAGTTCCTGAATGTGTGACGGAGTCGTACCTCGCTGCCGAGGTTAAGAAACCTCTTGATGTCAGGAATGCGTAACCTGACGGAGGCTTCGGCCTGCGGGAAAAGACGATGTTTCTTTACGCAGGCCAGGATGTCTTCCGGCACCACGCGCTCTCCGACTTTATGCTGAGCCATTAACCTTCACAAAGCGGCAGAAATAAAGACATGAATAAAAACAAAACGATTCACCGGGGAGCATGTTTTCTGGTCAGCAGACTCACACCACCAGGCTGCGGATGCTGTGCTCTGAGGGCGCGGGGCTGCTGATGTTGCTGTTTTTCAGCGTGGAGCAGATCTCCTGCACCGTCTCCTTTTCATTCATCATGTAGCGATAGTACTGCTTCTTAAAAGGCACAAACTGAGACACAGAGCAGTGAAAGTTAAAGGAGAGTTTGGGATGTGGAATCTCATCTTTGTTTCTCAGTGTTTTATTTAAATCCGATGACATTAACTTTTTAACAAACCCAGAGCGTTCTGAGAGGTCACCCAAGTTTTCCTTCAAAAATTAAAAAATAAAAATGAAAAAAAAAGCAATTAAGAAAAGTTTTGAGAGAAACTTTTGCCGTTTGCTCTGAATTTGTTAAACAAATTTTTTCTTTGCAAATAAATTTTTCACTTTTGTTTTAAACGGCTTATATTTTGACATTTTTTATCCTTTTTTTATTCCTTTATTTTATTTTTTTTTACAGAGTTTATATTTTCTAAACTTTGATAGGATAACAGTGTAACTGTAAAAGCAAAGACATTAATAAAATGTGGGAAAATTAAAATTCTAATATTTTTATCTGGGAACTTTTTTTTTATTATTTTTTTTTTATTAAATTTGAAAAAACAAACCAGCATATTTTCCATGAGAACCTTATTTTTCTTATCTTGTTTTCAATGTTTTATTACTGGAGTCCATTTTGTAAAAATTCAACTCATGAAATGTGTTCTTTGCTATTTGTTTGCAAAAATAATGGAACAAAATTCACTCTATAGTTTATTTTATAAAAAAGTGTTAATTATCGTGTTGTTTTAGAAGCAATAGCATCCAGGGAGAGCTGGGTAAAAGCTATGAGGCCCAGGTGCCTCCAGGGGGCAGTATCTTGTCTAACCAAAAATCATCTCCATGTCATTCTTTGCAGTTTTTGAGATGCTGCAAACCCTGATGATACGCCATGCAGCTCTAATTTAAACAAAGATAGGGATGCATAATATGTATAACAGATGTTTACTCTACAAGTTTCTTAAAAAAACAAACATTAAACTTGCTGTATTTTGGGGAGAGACAAGGTTCCACACTGAAAAATTGGCATTTAGGTTAAAGCAGTCTGAGAAAAATGTTTGGGAAGCAAGAGAATCGACCCCAGAGGACCAACCATGAAGATGACGAGTCACAGCTGTTGTCCTCTGACTCCCTTTGTCTCATCAGAACAAAGAACCGTCTTCCATCCTTTCCAGGTGAGATTTACCGGTAATAGAAGCTCACGTTAATGTTTCCTTCTCTTTAGTCCTTCCTTCCACTTTTTACAGCATCTCTGAGCTAGAGATAGACAGTACTTTGGCCAGACGACATTTCATGCCGATATTAGCGTTTGTTTTTTGCTGCATAGGCTGAAACACGCACACTTGGCGGCGGATTCATCAATGCATTCAGCAGCCATGTCGAGAGATCACCTGAACCCTGCCACTCCATCTATTAACCTCCCATAGGTAGCTCTCTGCTGGGCTTTAACTCTTTTTATGTAATTCGATATTGCAATATGTGGAGAAACACTGAATATAAACGCAAAAAATATCAAAGCTCTTCTTTAACAAACCAAAAACCCTCTAATAAAAAATTATTGTTATAAATTTAAGTCGTTGAGAGGTTTAACCGATAAGAAACGAGCAGTATTATCTGATCAACTGTCTGACCGGAAAACTCTTCCCCAAACTCAGTTTTAGATCCTCGTCGCTCAGACTTTTGTCATCAACCTCCTGAATACTCTGAGCACCAAGCTAGCTTTTATTAGCGTAGAACCTTCAATCAAAGGTCTAATCTTCCTGATGATGACCTGCTCCATTCGGCAAACATTTCCCTTTGTTCGGGATTCATTTTGTACTTTAGTTAAAGTGACCTCATAAACTCTTTACTGTAAACTGAAGCTGTAACTGCATGGAAAGCTGTAGGATGATTGTTCACCTTAGGGTCCAGAACGATGTTCCTCCAGCGATGGCACACCAGGCTGACGCTGCGATAGAGGTCTGAAGCAGGGACCAGACAGAGCACCTCCCTCAGCACCTCCTCTGGAAGGTCATCTATGCGGCCCTGTGGTTGGAGCAACACCTTTCCGCTGCCAATCAGTCCAAAGTGGGCATCAGGAAGAGGCTCCACCTCCTCCTCTTCAAACTCCTCGTCGTCTCCAAACATCTCTGCCGTCATCCCCTCCAGATAATCCGTCGTCGCGGTGTCTCCCAGCTGGGCATTAGCGGGGGGGATCTCCTCAGCCTCTGGGAGACTTTCAGCAGGCAGCAGACTATCGTCATCGATCTCATCTGCTTCCTCTGCTACAGGTTTAGCTTCAATCGGAGTAGCCAACAGGCTCACGTCATCGTCTTCCTCTTCTTCTTCTTCAGGTATGACCCAAGAGCCAGGGGGGGGTTTCGATGTAGACGGCACACATGGTTTGTTCGGACTGGAACTTAGAACTTTTTCTACAGAGTAAAAGTCGTTAATGGCCTTCTGTCGCCCAGACGGACTTCCTATAATGGATGCTGCTGATGGAAAGATTAAAAAAAAACACACAAACATACTTTTTTTTTCTACAAATGCAAACAAGATGTGGTGAAACCAAAACATATAGCTTTAATATGTTTAGTTTTTACAAAAAAGAACCTCTTAGAGGGTTTATGTTTATTAGTTTAACACTTTAGTAAAATGTCTTTCTACAAATTACAGAGATAATCACCATCCGTGCTCCAAACAGTCTGCTCACATCTCATTACCTTTCCTTCGTTGCTTTCTGGGGGTTCTGGGGTAAAGCCCCCTGTTGGGATCTCTGCTGCCATGCGACGTCTGGGGTCTAGTGAGGGGATCGGCTCCATCCTCACTTCGACCCAGCTCCTCACATTCTTGTGCGTTTAGACGTTTCCTTTTGGCCCTCCCTGTAAACACAAATAATGTAAATAAATCACACTGCCTTTGGATTTGCCTCTTCAGGGTATTTTTTAGAAAATATAAACTTTACAGCATTTATTTATTAGTACAGTAGCTCTTCAAAGTGTGCAAACTAATCTTTACATTCTTAGGAAACATGAAGCCATGACAGATCCTTATTGGAGAAAAACTGACAAGTCAGCCGGCTTTTTTTCTATCAATTTGTCTATTTTTTTAATAACAATTATTGTTATCATGATACACTTCTTTTCCTGATGAGAACCTTGATTTATTATCTAAATAATAAATCAGAATTTATGCTGAAAAGTTAAAGGATCACGTCTTTCTTTTTTCTTTCCTTTTGGTTTTGCATTGGGGAGTTGACCAGTTCAAAGAAATGATTACATTAGTTCACTGTGGGATGTTTAGAGATTTTTAGGGATGTTTATGTAACTGGTGTCCTGAAAAACCCAAGTTTTAAATGTGTATAGTTTTCTGCAGTGATGTTTGTGGAGCTTTAATTGCTTTGGCATGCATTCATAGCCCCATATTTACCTGGAAAAAAAAATATGTGAATAGGTAATTATCTTCTTTTTTTTTAATCCTCATTTTAATCATTATCATGACAGAACCTCAAAATATATCCATATAGCCTAGCTCTAGTTTTGTGTAACATTTATTGCAATCCATTTTATGTATTTATTTTTATATAGAGGAAGAGATGCCAATAAAATCAGCCGCACCTATCAGGGATTGGCTGGATTGATGTCAAAATAATCTGCATCCGTTTTAAAAAACAAACTATATCAGTTGATCTCTAATCCTTAATAAGCTTGTTCCACCTTTATCATAGAAAATCCTGAATTACCAAACTACAAAGCAAATTTGTTGAGGGATTGTATTAAATAAAATGGTTGCAGGAGGTAATAGTAATTCTATGAAGAACTTTTAGTTTAAATTTCAGTAGCAACATAATGTCTCCCACCCCATGTACGAAGCTGTTGCTGAACTGGAGAGCTCCTTCAGTGACAGACTGCTGCACCCTAAATGCACCAGGGAGCGTTATCACAGATCCTTCTTTCTAGTGGGAACCACCATTGTTTCCAAGAACCTCATTAAGTTGTTACATTAGGGCGTGCTTTGGTGGTGCAGTGGTTAGAGCACAAGACCCATGTATGAAGTATTAAATCCGACCTGTGGTCCTTTGCTGAATGTCTCTCATACCATCTTTCCTGTGAGCTTATTGTCCAAAAAAAGAGCCACTAGTGCTGTAAAAACTCAAAACAATATATATATATAGGTTCTTACATGTATGCTGATTTTGCAGTTTCTATCTTAGTCAGTTAAATAATATCCTGCTGTCATTTTGCACATCTCTGATGTTGCTGCTATTTTCAAATATTACTGTAAAAATGTCCATAGCTGTGTATTGGTTATTTATTCTCCAGGTGCACAGTTTAGATTGTTCAACACTTTATAGTATTTTATTGTTTATCTTTTAACTCTTCACAATTATGTTATACTTATAAATTTTTCTAAGGTCCACATTTGTGTGACAATTTTTTCTATATTTTTTTGCTGCTGTAAACAGTACAATTTCCCCATTGTGGGACAATAAAGGGATTTTTTATTCCATTCTATTCTATCGGGTTTTGCATGCCAACAATGACCTCAATGACATTCTCTAAGCCATAACAAGGCTTTTGTTTGAGCCGCTATAAGCCTGGAACTGAATGCTTCCTGGATGGGAAGCGAAACGTCTTCAAACTTGGAAACAAAGTCCAGTGGATTGTTGTTGTTTTTTTTAAAAACTTTTTTGGAATGAGGTCATTTCATTAAAATAAATTAGACATCAATTGCACAAAAGCAGGAGTCAAGGCACCTTTGTTGTCGTTATCACAGATCCTTCCTTCCAACCTCAATAAGTTCTTACATTCATGCTGATTTTGCACAGTTTCTATCTTAGTCAGTTAAATAACATGCTGCTGTCATTTTGCACATCTCTGATGTTGCTGCTATTTTCAAATATCCATCACTGTAAAAATGTCTATAGCTGTATATTGGTTATTTATTCTCCAGGTGCACAGTTTTATATTGTTAAAACACTTTACAGTACAGTATTTTATTGTACTGTATATTTGTGTGAACATTTTTTCTATAATCTTTCTGCTGCTGTAAAAAAAAACAGAATTCCCCCATGTAGGACAATAAAGGGATTTTCTATTCTATTCTAAAATATGGCTACTCAATTAGCAATATTAAAAAAACTCATCTTAACTGTATCTACAGAAAGGGAACCAGCGGTAATAATGCTGCCACCACCATGCTTCAGAGTGGCCACTCCTCTAGGATTCCATCTATCCTTAGATATGGCTCCAGTCAAAGATATGTTCTAGGGTCCTGTAACCCAGGCTTTCTCCTAATAGCTTATTTTTGTGGGTCATACAGTAATTTCAGGTCAGAGATAAACAGACCTTCTATTGAGTCCACCATCTTGGAGTTTCCTTCTAGAAAGGTGTGCCTGCTAAAGCAGAACCACTTTAACTGGACCCTATCGATACCAGTCTATGTTGTTCCTCCTACCACAGTTCCAGATACATTGATAAAGCTTCATTGGAGACCAATGGAGAAGCACATCTGCGCAGCCTTAACGAAGCATCTTTATTTTTCATTTCCTTCTTTAACAAAAAAATACAAACTCACCTTTAACAGACACCTCCATCCTAGTATCCGATGGACGGAGCACTAACAGCTAACACTAAAAGGTTAACTTCGCCGGTTGCTAGTTATCATTGCTAGTTTATATTTATTTCTTACTTTAGGGACATTTAACCCCCTGCCTTTACACTACCGAACCCAAAGGTTTTATTTAAACACGGCGTCCTCGTCTCTGTCTGAACGCAAACCTGAAGGTTTTAGAGACGCTTTTCAAAAGCCTTTCAGTTTAGTTCAACAACCTGTAGTTCGAACTGTAGCCAAACAATGTGTGACGTCGGGGCCAGGTGATTGGTCAGTCGGCTCTTCCTTAGATTTTATTGTTAGGGTAGAAAACTCACCGCTTTGTGAGAACCGCCCCCTACTGGTTTGGAGTGTCAGTGAGACTGGAAAAAGGTGTATCTAAAAAGTTTGTCATTTATTGATGGAATTTAAGAAATATAAAAAAAAAAGACTGTAGATTATAAAATAAACTTAGATTTAACATTTCTAAGGTGTTGAAAATAAACAGAAAAAAATAATGTTTATTAAAAGTTTATTCAATAAGCAGTGTAATAAGTGTGTAATAAGTACTGGAGTGCTTGAAATGAATTCCAATTCAACAGCAACAGTTCAAAATAGTTTCTCACATTTTTATAGACTCTTCTTTTGACTTTTCTTTAGTTGTAGTGTATCAGATTATATGCTAGAGGAGGGGTCCAAAACTGATGGCGGGATGGAGCGGGGACCCCTAATTATATACACTACCGTTCAAATGTTTGGGATCACCCAAACAATTTTGTGTTCTCCTGAAAAGTCACACTTATTCACCACCATACATTATGAAATTAATAGAAAATAGAGACAATACATTAACAAGGTTAGAAATAATGATTTGTATTTGAAATAAGATTGTTTTTTTTTACATCACCTTTGCTTTCGTCAAATAATCCTCCATTTGCAGCAATTACAGCATTGCAGACCTTTGGCATTCTAGCTGTTAATTTGTTGAGGTAGTCTGGATAAATTGCACCCCACGCTTCCAGAAGAAGCTCCCACAAGTTGGGTTGGTTGGATGGGCACTTCTTGCGTACCATACAGTCAAGCTGCTCCCACAACAGCTCAATGGGGTTCAGATCTGGTGACTGCGCTGGCCACTCCATTACCGATAGAATACCAGCTCGTGCTTCTGCTCTAAATAGTTCTTGCACAATTTGGAGGTGTGTTTAGGGTCATTGTCCTGTTTTAGGATGAAATTGACTCCAATCAAGCGCTGTCCACTGGGTATGGCATGGCTATGTAAAATGGAGTGATAGCCTTCCTTATTCAGAATCCCTTTTACCGTGTACAAATCTCCCACCTTACCAACACCAAAGCAATCCCAGACCATCACATTACCTCCACCATGCTTAACAGGCATTCTTGCTCCATCTATTCATTTGTTCTGCATCTCACAAATGTTCTTCTTTGTGATCCACACACCTCAAACTTGGATTCATCCGTCCACAACACTTTTTTCCAGTCTTCCTCTGTGGTACGTAACTGCACATGCACAGGAATATCATGTCGAAAGCTTAATGGAATTCATGTGTGCTGGTCGACACCAGAGGTTGCTTTGACATTAAAAGAATGTTTATACAGAGATACTATCAGGATAAAAAAAAATATGAGCACTGAGAGTTGATATTATAGGAAGAAAAGGTTTTATTTTGCTGTGCAGAGGAGAACACACGATCAGCCTAAATGCAGTTCAGTGAGGTTCTGAGGCTGCAACATTCTCACCCCTACATAAAATGGGGACTACACACACACATTTAGCTTTTCAAAGGACAGAGATAACAATTGTTTCCCATTCACACCAGGACGTGAGAATCCTGACTTCCTTTCAAACCTCCTACCTCACTCACAAATAGATAAAAAAAAAAAGCCAGACGTTCTCTGTTTATGCCAAAACCACTTAATATATCATCTAATTGCGTAGGAATCAGCCATTAGGGACCTTGTTGTTACCAAGACTCATACTTGATCTTCAGCATGTACTGCTGGGATTATAAGGCCACGGATAAGGATATATAAGGCAGTACAGCTGCTTCTATATTTGGCAAGCCAGCCAGATATTTACATTCTACAATGGCTTTTTCTTTGCCACTCTGCCCTGAAGCCCAGAATCCCGCAGCCGCCTCTTCACTGTAGATGTTGACACTGGTGTTTTGCGGGTACTATTTAACAAAGATGCCAGTTGGGGACCTGTGAGGCGTCTGTTTCTCAAACTAGAGACGCTAATGTACTTATCTTCTTGCTCTGTTGTGCAACGTGGCCTCCTACTTCTTTTTCTACTCTGGTTAGAGCCTGTTTGTGCTGTCCTTTGAAGGGAGTAGCAGACATGGGCAATGTGGAGTCAACAAGTCATCTCCATGTCATGTATTGGTTCTACCCAGCCACTGAAGCAGGTGAGTCCAATCTTCACCGTGAATAAACCTGTGCAGATTGGACTCACCTGGTTAATTGGCTGGGTAGATTAAATACATGACATGGAGATGACTTGTTGACTCCACATTGCCCACGTCTGGGGAGTAGTACACACAGTTGTAGGAAATATTCAATTTCTTAGCAATTTCTTGCATGGAATAGCCTTCATTTCTAAGAACAAGAATAAACTGTCGAGTTTCAGATAAAAGTTTTCTTTTTCTGTCCATTTTTAGCGTTTAATTGACCCCACAAATGTGATGCTCCAGAAACTCAATCTGCTCAAAGGAATGTCAGTTTTGTAGCTTCTGTAATGAGCTAAACTGTTTTCAGATGTGTGAACATGATTGCACAAGTTTTTTCCAATCATCAATTAGCCTTCTGAGCCAATGAGCAAACACATTGTACCATTAGAACACTGGAGTGATAGTTGCTGGAAATGGGCCTCTATACACCTATGTAGATATTGCACCAAAAACCAGACATTTGCAGCTAGAACAGTCATTTACCACATTAGCAATGTATAGAGTGTATTTCTTTAAAGTTAAGACTAGTTTAAAGTTATCTTCATTGAAAAGTACAGTGCTTTTCCATTAAAAATAAGGACATTTCAATGTGACCCCAAACTTTTGAACGGTAGTGCATATATTGTATGAAATTGTGTTATATCAAACTGGTCCTATAGGTACTCTATTTTAGATGGAGTAATATAACGAAAGTAATTTCTCCCTGGGATTATTAAAGTATTTCTTTTTCTGATACCTCAATGATGGGACAGGTGTTGTGAATGAAACGGCGCCCAACTTGAAAGAGCTCCTGTGTGTCGCTGAATGTGTGCATTGATGACTGAAAGACATCTTCTGCCTCCATTTATCTGCTTACTAAAGTGTGTTGAATTCATGTTAATGTGTATTTAAAGACATTTCAATCAGTGGGGGAAAAAAAAAAAAAAAAGTGTAACTAACCAAAATTTTACTGCAATGAAATTTCAGCAAAATGGACTAGCCTGCTGCATCCTTTTTTCACTGTAATTTTTTGGGTGTCTTTGAATTCAGCCCTATGTAGGTTGATCATTTTCATTTCCATCAAATGATGCGGCATCCTTCACAGACGATCTCAGCCTTTTCCCCCTGAATGGCCGTCCCACATGAAGCTGTATTTATACCCTAGCAACTGCTAATTCAAAATCTAGAACAAGATTATTATGCCAAGATTACTTTGCTTATAAAATTGAGTACATGCAGATTTGTTTGAGTTTAAGAATGTTGTTGCCAAGATTCGTACATGACCTCTGCTTTCCATTGTTTCTGTGTGCTTGGGTTCAAACACCTTGTCCACTGTATTCTCTGTGTGTTGCTAAGTATGTAAAAGGCTTTGAAATATGTTTGCACAGTGTGAACATTATATAGCACCATTATAACCAGCTTGGTGGTACTGTTGATTCTAATTGCCTTTGTTGTGGATTAGTTAAACTGGATTAGTTAATCCTGCTAGGCTGGGCTCGCTTCGTGGCCCTGCTAGTAATAGAGTTAGCGTTACATTTCTTTTAAATTTACACACAATAAAATAAGGAGTAAGGAGCGATTTACACTCACGGGCCACTTTATTGGGTTCTCCTGTGAAATTTCTTGTAAATACAGTGAACCAGCCAATCAAATGACAGAAACCAAGAGCATCTACCAGATATACATATATCTACTATCATTGAATCCAAAATGTTAAAGCAGACTGCGTTTCCCAAACAGTGAAAAAACAAAAAACAAAATGCTGTTTTAAAATAGCGCTACTGAAACAATAAAACAAGTACAAAACAGATATAAAAAAAAAATCATAAATATAAATGATTTTTAAACATTTTGACGCCATGATTGCTTTAAGTTAATTATTTAAAGAGGACTATTGACAGAAGAGGCAATAAATGTCCACTTTGGTGCGGTTAGAGATCGGCGCAGTATGTCATTTTGAGTGTTAAACCTTTTTATATCAATAAATATAAAATTTCCTTACAGACAAGTTAAGAAAAAAACATTGAAGTCGTCTTAGATTAGAAGCAATTAAAAGGAACAACCAATTAAAACACAAAAGCAGACACATTTTTATACAACAGGACAAAAATGCTTATTAAAAAGAGGGGCAGCTGAGATAACAGTAAGATTGAAATCTTGACATGTTGGTTTGGAGTCAACCTGTTAATGATTCAAACCATGAAACGGTTTGATGCTCCAATCAACTTTTCCTCCACTTTGAACTCTAATTATGTCTCAAATTTTGGTTTCAGTAGTAAAGCTTTTACGTCTCGTCTGATGACTCAGATTGCCTTAAATTGGTATTAGAATAGTTCGGATTAAGGTTTTATTAAGAAATAAACCAAAGAAAAATAAAAACAGAGGTACAACTCAACCTTAAACAGTTTGATCATTTTTACTGATTTAAGGATTAGAGATATAAAGGAAGAGAAAATATGCCTTTGTCATTAGTGATAAGACTGTAGCACATATCAAGCAATAACAAACTGCAGCTTTTTCCATGAAGTTTCATTTAATCTGAGTTTAATTCACCACCATCATCAAAAGTGAGAAGTTCTCCAGCGAGTCCTAACTTCATCAGGTCGGATTCTTCTTTTTCAGGGAACTCTAAGACTCTCCTGTTCCAGTTTCCCCTCGTTTGAACTGTAATCAACAGAGAAAAAAACATCACAAAGATCATTAACATCAGACAAAAATGGACCTCCTGTAGAGGTCTGTCTCACGGTGGATCTGAGGAAACCTCTGACAGAAAACACTCTGTTGTGGTGATAAAGGAATGTTAGGGGTAGTCCAAAATATCTTTCATTTATTTGTT